GATCCCACCTCCCGTCTTGCGGAGGTCCGCCCGAAGGCCGAGGATTGCCAGACGCTGTAGGGGGGCCACCAAACCGTATCCCTACTTCTGGAGTCCACATGCCCGCAGTCGGAGGCATGCTTGCCCTCGTAGGCGTTGGTGCAGTCAGTGGCTCTTCAGCATGTGCACTTGCGCCATAGTGGGGATCCTGTGCGTCGGCCTGCTTCTGTTGCTGCAGTGAGCTTGACGCTGCTTGCTGAAGACCGAGGGAGCTCATCCGCGTAGTAAGATCGCTATCTGTCGTCAGTACAGAGCAATAAACCACTGACTGCACCAACATACCTTTCCAGATGTGATGCTTCGGACTTGCGGTTGTAGGCAAAAGTCCGCGCTTCATCCCTGAACCGATTCACAATCTTGGCAAGGTCGTTGTAAAACTTGCGGCCAACATCAAGGTTGGAGATGATTTCCTTGTACTTGAAGTATGCGTTCTCCAAGTTTTGCAATGCCTGTTCACGTTTCTTAGTAGACTGGTCTCCGCGACGAGCGATCAAAAAGGCAGCGTTTGCGTCTTGTAGCCGTTTGATCGCCTCGGCCTGTTCCTTTTCTTCTTCTTGAACCATGTCCAAGTCAGCATCGTACATCTGTAGTCGCTTATCGAACAAGCCCTCAAACTGTACAGCCTCGATCGTCTGCATAGGATACTCCCGCTCTAAGCGAGCGGCTTCGCGCAGCAGCTCCGGGTCTAATGTCTCGTCAGGGTTTGGTCAGCGACATGGCAGTGCAACACCTACTTATGTCATCTTGTTTCGCCTTGGTCCTCAACGCCTCAATCTTTCGCCGCCGTCTGCTCTCAAGTCGACTCACTTCATTGAAGCTGCCTCGTAACTTGACGGCTTCACGTTCTACATCTCCAGTAATGGCAGGTCTCCGGCCACTGGGCACATAGTTCTCCAGTTCATGGTCGGGTCCACTGAGTAGCTTGATGAAGTATTCATTTTCCTTGAGCTTTGTCTTTACAATGTTGTCGCTGTTTGTTGCAGCCTTGAAATAGCCATCAATTTCAGCAATCTGAGCGTGTAGTTTGGGCGCAGCCTGCGCGGCAGGTGGTCGGGTCCATTGCTCAGTGCCAAATTTTCGACGTGCGCCTTCATCCTCTGCAGCTTCTGAGCGCAGGATGTCGACACCTTCCTGGTAGATAGCTTGGTCAGTATACATGAGTTTCTTGGTGTCTTCCATGGAGCGTAGGAGCCGGTTGATGCCATCCTGTTGGCGTATCTCATCAGCGTGAGCAACCAGACCTGGCGGCAAGCCCAATGGCTTCTCGAGAGCTTGGAGCGATCCTGGCAGGTTCAAGCTACGGAGTACCTCGTGAATCTTGTCTGTCAACGCTTCCAGCTGCTCAACAATCTGGCCGTTGACCAATCGATCGCGGCGATCAACGTAGATGCTTGCTGCCAGGTGCACTGAGTATGGTACCAGTTTGGAAAAGAGTGCTGGGCCGAGCTCGCCATGCTCCCCTAGCATTGAGTTGGACTCTGCAATCTCCTTTGGAACCCTTGCAACTACCATATTTGCTCTGTCCAGTATCTTGAGTTCTGCCTTTGGTGGAACGGGTAACAGGTATATCATGTCGTTGTCTTTTTCGGCGCGCTTCAGGTCTTCGGTTATGCGATTCTTCAAGCCGTTCAGATCAGCCAACACAGCCTTGTTGATGTACCGTTGTTCTTTGAGGGCTTCGTTAACGCATGTGAGACTGTCGCGTAGCCTTGCAACCTCTTCGCCATACTTGCGCTTCTCGAGAGAGTCGCAAGCTGCACGGTACTGGGCAGCGGCAGCAAAATGATGGTGCTTTGCTGTCATGTGGTGTATCCACTCGCTGCTGATTGCATCGGATTGTATACCTGCGTCCCCTGCTTCATTATAGAGATCCGACACGCGTGCGGCTAGCTTTGCAATCGTGGCATCTTTCAGTCCATCTTTGACCGCTTTCTGCCAGAAACACTCCTGGGCCTGAGCCAGCAGAAGCTTCTCCAAGCACTCGAGTGTCATAAGATCCATATCCTCTGGAGGTTCGGTCCGAAGATCGGGCAAGATGTTGTTTCTCAGGTGGGACAAAATGCCGGCGCCGAGACAGAAGTTGTTGGCGGCCGCTTTCAGCCCGTCTGGCGTGCTTCGGTTGGACGACATTGCCAGTTGGGAGTACATGGCGGCGAGGTTGAACATGATGTTGGCGAGTTCGAATCGGAGATTATTGCGCGATGTTGGGCGGCTCGTGTTGTATCCCAGCGCAGGATACCAAGGGAACTCGACGCCGATATCGATGGGAAACTTGCCGCTCAGCCATATCAGCTGCGCGGCGTATTGCTGCAGCTTGGGGATGTTGCTCGGATGGGCTTCCTGAGCATGTGTGGCGACGGATCGGAGCCTCTCGAACGTCTCGATGTCCTTGGTGAACATGTCCGGGTGCTGGTCATATTTGGACGAGATGTACTGCTTGACGGCATCGCTGAGGTTGACCGAGTGCGAGCGTCTGAAGGGAAGGAAGAGGATGTTGCTGGCCATTTGGTAAGCAGAAGGACATGTCGAGGCCTGCGTGGTACCTACGAAGCCATGGCAGAGGAATGTTTTTTTTGGCTGGCATGGACAGCACAAGCTCTGCCCAAAGACGTCACCGCCGCAGTCGCAGGCCAGCTCAGGTCCCCGCGCTAGCCAACGTGGGGCCGCCGCTCAGTCTCAGGGTTCAGCATCAGGAACAAGACAAGATTAGCACGCGACATGGGGCCAGATGATGCTGGGCGACTCTGCGTTTCTCTGCTTGGCTATAAAGGAAACAAGTAGACCTTGCAACATGCGAGCAGCGCGAGAAACCGTTTGGTACCTCATGGGTTATGTCTCCGCAGCCTGATTATTGGGCGTTTCTGATCGGACCGGTATTCAGTACTTATTCCCATCTCAAGTCTGTCCGGACGACACGGAGCATCGCATCACCATGACACTCGTTGCTGATGCTCGCCACGCGGAGAATGCGGAACGAGCGACAGTTTTATTTACAGAGGCACGGCAGGGGACACGGTGTTGTCCAGAGGATCAGCAATGGCACAATTTCCATTCTGGGCCCAAGGACGTTCTCCGTGAGCAAGTTTCACCCCACTAAATTGTCCGACCCTCAAACCTAAGATGAGAAATGCACCTGGCTGAGGCGCAACAGGTTCCACCTGCCGGACTGTCATGGCAAAGGTTGCATGTGTCAGCGAAGCACGACCACAATCTATTGCAATCTAGCCGAATTGCACCATTGTCTTGAAACTTGCTCATGTCCCTTGGTCAAAGTCCCTACCTACGCTAGCGCGCGATGTAGTCGATTATATATACCTCTTGCGTGACCGCTTCATGATTGCTAACATACAACAGCAAAATCTCGGCAAATCCACCTTAGCCATCAAGACCACTACCACCATCCCTCCAAGCAAGCCTATATCACACACCTACAACCTACAAAATGACCCACACATACAAGTTCAACGTTGCCATGAGCTGCGGCGGCTGCTCTGGCGCCATTGAGCGCGTGCTTAAGAAGCTCGAAGGTCAGTATCTTGCTCAGCACCAGTTGCGCCACCACAGTCTCTAACAAGCATGCAGGTGTTGAGTCGTACAATGTCTCTCTCGAGAACCAGACTGCCGAGATTACCGCTGCCGACTCGCTCGACTACGACACCGTTCTGGAGAAGATCAAGAAGACCGGCAAGACGGTCAAGTCGGGCGAGGCCGACGGTGAGGCCAAGGAGGTCTAGGGCAGAGCATGCGCCGCCAACGGGCAATGATTTTTTCAGTACATTTGTTTTTTTTGTTTCTTTTGGACAAGACGCGGTGAATATTACTACGGTCGCATTGTGAGTAAGCCTTTGTGCTGCCGCGACGGCCCTGTACACCTCGAGCAACGTATACATAGATGTTGCAATTGAATAAGGATACCCCGCACCATAATATACGTACATATACATGATGGCCTGTGAAGTGCAACGCATCATTTTGCAGAGACTCCAGCAGACGCAACCCCATAAGCCATACGTCAGAGCTGTAGTTTGACGTCGTATTGCACGCCGTATTGCGCGCCGTATTGCGCACCGCCTGCTCGCGGCGTCTCGGTGTTCCACCAGATTGCTTCTGCCCCAAGCGGCGCGGCGAGGTCACATGCTACGAGGTGAAGCCGGGTCGCCGTTCCTGCCTGGCCGCCCACAACGCCCAGTGCCATACTGGTCGCCATGGCATCTGCAACCCTCGTCCTTCCATGGCAGCTGACCATACTCACCTCCGACTCTTCCCTTTACCTCCGTTTTTAGGCCCCTTCGGACCAGATTCGAGTTAGGCCATGGTTCCTGAATACGCGATTACGGTTCGGCGCTGCCGCTGATTGTGCCGCCTACCCAGAGTCATGGTCCATTGACATGGTCGCAAATGGTGATGCCTAGCATCCTCAATCTCTCGGTACCACTGCAGCATCAGGACGGCACATAGGCAACAACATTATGCACCAGACGCCCCCCAAAAATAACGGCATCTATACCTAGGCACATTGTAACTGCTTGTCTTAATATGAAGAAAAAAACCAACGTATGAATGAGTGCAAGTCCACCAGACAACGTCATGTCTAGAGTTAATGGTGGAGGTCGGGAACTGTCGGTTCGCGAACGGGCCCTAACCGGAAAGTCATCAACCTTCCCAGGGGCTGAGCCGCATTGCAATTCACCAATGCACATCATCAGTATAGCGCAAGAGCACCATGTAAGCGCGGCATTTATCTCCGTATGACGCTTGGGCGTGGCGTCTGCTACCCTTGCCAACGTTACGTGGATTTGAGTGATGCAGGATGGCTCATCACCTACGTAGTGTGTGATATAAAGCTCTTCCTCAGGCCACAAGGCGAGAATACATTATTCACACCAGGCCTTACAGCTTCGGAAGTTTCAGTCTAGCCTACTTTACATTCAAATCTCTTCTCAGTCCTTCCTCACATCCTCATGACGTCTCCCACAGGAAATTCTAGTATTTCCTTTCCAAGCCAAGCGGACCTCTTCTATTATTGCACCACATCATCGACCTCGCAAGAAAACCTCGATATTCACTATGCACCACCGTCAAGATCCTCACTGAAAATCGGTGTCGTCATTCTCGGTCAAGTCCAATTGCTCGACTTGGCCGCTCTCGACCTTCTCGCCATGATTAGCAAAAGTCGGATCAGCAAATGCAACCCCACGGCCGCAGCACTGGACCAAGCCGTGGACGAAATCGACATTCGATACGTTAGCATGACGGGAGAAGGCAGTTTCCCCGTCACAGCTGGCTCGCGAATGCCGGTGACGGTGAGCTAAAACCTTCGATATCGATCCTATAAAACCACCACCCACCGAACCCGACATGCCTTTTGTGTCCATACTCCCTCCCTCCCCCCGTTACACCACGCTCTCCCAACCAAGAAGAAACCGCCTTTTTGGCACCGCTGGATTCGCCCGGTCTTGGCTACTCTTTTTTTACCATATCAAAGTAGTCATCTCTGACAAGTCTGGCACGGGAGAGATAAAGGTTAACACGATCCCCTCACACCCCCTTCTTCTCCCTCCCAAAAAACATGTATATCAACAAAAACAACTGACTCATTCCAACCACAGAACTCCTTCACCAACGCCCCCCAATTCGACATCCTCCTCATCCCGGGAACCTCAATCCTAACCAACCTCCCTCCCCCGGCCTCTTCCTTCCTCACCTCCCAATGCCTCAACACAAACCTCCTCGCCATCATGACCATCTCCTCAGGCATCGCCCACCTAGTCCAAGCAGGGAGTCTCCACGGCACCCGCGTTGCAGCGCCGCGCTCCCTGCTACCTTGCTTGCAACACCGCTTTCCGGAGACGGAATGGCAGTATGCGCCTTGGGCGCGGCACGGTAAGGTTTGGAGCTGCAACTCGCCTGTTTCCGGCCTGGATATGGTGGTGGAGTGGATGCGGGAGTATTTTTGGGATCGCCAGGAGGCTCTGGCTTGTGTGGTTGGGGTTGCCGGTGTAGGCAGTTTGTACGAGTATAGTCATTGTGATTATTGAACTTTGGATTCCTGCGCATGAACTGGGATTTGTACTCTTTCTTTCTTTTTCTTTGGTAGAGGCAAACTCTCTACTCTTTTACGAGACTTTTGGGGCTGTACTTTACATCTTTTCCTTTTTTTAGGGGGGGGGGGGCTTCACTGGATCGTAGCGCCGGGTTTTGGCTGCTCTCTGGAGGAGATGTAACATTATTATAGGTTTTGCTAAGACAAGGTATGTACACTATCATTTTCATTTTCTTCCTCATTTTTTTTCAATGTGTTGATTCACATAGTACACACTGCGGTAGTAGCACTAGACGAGGATAGTTACCTGAAGCAGATTCGATTCAGGAACTCTTGTAATTATCTTTCACTATTCCATCTCCATTGCATAAAACAGGTTTCGTTAAATCATACATATATATCCTCTGGTATGAAGAAATCACATCCGTACCTTCATTCCCTTATTCACCTCACGTTGAGATCCTAGAAAAGCTACTGCCCGTCTTGTAGGAAGAGAGCAGAGCATAGAATCTACTCATACGAATGCATCAGCGCCATGACCCTAGCAAAATCCTGCCTTCGCCATAAACTCCGCTTTTTCCGCTTCCGCTTCTCTTCTTCTCCCTCTTCCTCTTGATGTGTAATCCCGTCGGAAGAATCAGAGCTGAAACTCGAACGGATCATAGTTCCCGCTCTGTTAGCGCTAGATCTTGCATCGTATTGACGGATACGGTCAGCAACAAGAAGAGCTTCTTGTGTGGCGCTGTCGAGACTTTCGTGATTGTTTTGGATAGAGAATGCCGGGGTGGACAAAGGGTTGAGGGCGGCGGTGGTAAGGGCTTGGTAGTGAACTGCTAAGCTATTGGCTTCAGTGCTGGGTCTGGGTAGTATATAGTGAGATGGGCGATCGATTTCATCATTGGAGTTGCTTCCTCTGTTTAGAGTGGGTTGTGTTGTAATACTGGTTCTGGGAACGATGCTATCAAGCCATTCTTGAGTCGTTTGATTAGAACACACAGTACCGTCGACATTATTCCGCGTAGCAAGGCCTGCTTGGAATCGATCCGGCGTATCGGTCGGGTTGGAGATTGAGGCAATTTCAATTCCGGGATTAGGTTTATTCCGCCGCTTTGTAACGATAGATGATTGAGATCTACCAGTATCATTGCTTACCGCTGGCGCGCTGAAGTACTCATTCCTTCCAGAGTTTTTCGTTTCAAGGTATCTCTCGGGATTTAGGCCTTCAATTTTTCTCATTCCATTCTCTCTCTCCCTTCTACATCCTGTTCTCTCTTTTCCTGACTTTGAAGAATATGACCGGGGCCACCCATTACTATCTGCACTCATACTAATCTTTGTCGGCTCATTATTGTCTAGGTCTACTAATCGATGGTACTGTGAATCAGATTTGGATCCAGTTTCAAAAGGTGAAACCAAGACAGAGCGTGACAGTTTTCCTGCTTTCAAAAGCACAGAACGAAGCGAGGTTTGATGTTTTTGGATAGTGGCCGACGCGGCAGGTTTTGGTGATGTGATAGCAGCGGAAGGGCCAACTGTTCCCGGGTGGCGCATCTGTTCATTCGGGTGTTGAGGAGAAGCATGAATGGGGCTATGACAAGGCAAGTATCGTGATGATACAGCTAGAATCTTGGGAGATTGTAGACTTGAGTCTATGATGGGCTCTAACTTGAAGCGGCTATCCAAATCTCGTACTGTCGTTGCCTTGGTGGTACCGTCTTCAGACCTGGCCGTGATCAGATTATGTTTTTGTTTGTGTGATTCTTCTCGGTACACGAGGTTCTCCTCGCACTCATATTCTGTTTCTCCAGATGGCCGCTGCTGCCTTTCTGTACATCGAGTCTCTCGATCACTTCCACCTTTTCGACAAGCACTAGAACATTCATTTCTAGGTCGGTTGTTGGGCCTACGGTCCTCCTTCTTATTACATACAAGCGATTTGACCCCACGACTCTGCATTCCTGCATACAGGGACAAGTTGGCATTTCGATGTTGAGTTTGAACGCTTTTGGGAGGCGGCCCTAGTAGAAATCGAGGTGGTGGTGGAAGATTGTCTTTGTGCCATCTCTTCTCATCTCTGGGAGCGATTTTGCCGTTGCCTGCAAGGGGATTATAGTGACTATTGTAAACTGGAGTGCAGTTTGTGTCGGCAAATTGCTGTGTTCTCGTTTGCGAGTTGGTGTCTTTTGCATTACTTCCGCTAGTATAGGTAGTAGATGGCCTGTTTTTGACACTGTCTACCACATGCAAGTCTGTTTTAGATTGACTTGCAAGCAACCGGGAACGGATAATAGGCGGGGCTTGATCGATAGACCGTCCTGGATAAGTGACTGTGGATATGTCATGGGGTATGACGTCTTTGTAGGGGATGAATTGCAGAGGATAAGCATCGGTTCGTGGGTTAGATACTTCAGTGTCAGCTACTTTCCAAAGCGATTTCAATTTGTTCCAGTGACCACCATGTAGCCGACTGATGGATGATGACTTCTCGCTCACAGATGGAGCTTTGTACTTGTTGGTTGGCTGAGAACTTGGTGAAGAAGACGATAGCTGTGTAATGAAGTAATCACGTGTGTTTGAAGGGATGTAGTTGCCATAGACGTCTCTCCCATTGTTCAACGGCGAAATTGGGCTGACTGACTGAAGAAATGGGCTGTTGGATGGTGTATACTCGCGATTTCCTGTCAATGGCGATCTAGGTGGAAACAGTGATAACGCAACAGGCCTAGGGGGGAAGGCGCGATCAGTGCCCCTGCTGTCCGACCTCAAAAAGTCAGCCATAGGAGGTGAAGGATTCAAGAATCCATGTTCAAGCCAGTCAGATACTTTGTCAGTCAAGTTTTCGCTACGATAAGGAGATGCCAGCGAAGAGTCGTTGGTGAGGCCCAATCCGATTGCATTGACTGTGGAGGTTGCGCCATGGCGATTGCTCAGTTCTGTAGCGGTGTGGCTCGATTGCTTGACACTTTCGTTGTTCACCGCAATGCAATCTTGTGACCTACTCTGGTTTCTCTCACTGAAAGCCGCCAGGTGTGGCAACAATCGCACTGGATGCAGTGGCTCTGAATAATCGCCAGAGAAGTTTACTTCGAGTCCAGTCCTGCTCTTCTGAGGTTCACCCAGGCCACCCTCTTCCTCACTGCGATCCAGCCTTGTCTTCGAAACCATTGCATTGCTGCTATCCCAAATCTCCCAGGGTTCTGAGTCTTGATTGCTGCACATTTTGTTTCTCTCATAGATTTCGCCGGGCAGTTTCTGCAGCGTGTCCGCCAGGGCAAAATCGGTTTCTTTAGGTGGGACTCGCGAAACAGAAGATGAAAGACTGCTAAACATGTTTGCAGTGTCTGACTGCATGGTGTATAGCGTCAGGTGATACGCGGTGTCATTCTGTTAATGGATATATATTGATAGGGGGTGGGGTCTCATGTGATTCTACGGAAGAAGTCACTTGGGTCATGAGGAAGGTGCGCTAGTATTGGGGATAGGACAGCAAACGCAAAACATCGACTTTATTAGCAAAGCTGTAGATTTGACTGACACGATCAGCCCTAAATAATCATTTACGAGGCAAAAGCTGCAGACAAGACTACTGACTACTTAGGAAGGGTGAACCTACACAATATCGCCAAGTGTGTTGTTACCGGGAACACCAGTCTCAAACACTACCTGCCACATCCTTCACCTTCTGTCCCGAAGACTTGTTCTTACTCCCAAGTCTCCGCATGTTCGCCCTCGGAGCAGTGGGAAACTCCTCTTCTGGAATGAATTTCTCCGGGAACCGCTCCTCATCATCAAGTATGCCCCCATCCTCCAGATACTTGGCCAGCTCTCGCACATTATCACGAAGGTAAGCGATACTTGTGTTCTTCAACTCGTGCGCAGAACTCAACTGCCCGCGCAGTGCTTCCATCCCGCGATTATTGTTCCCTGCAGCGTTTATAGCATCGAGTATCGGCCGCAGACTCACATTCGATATCCCATGGTAGGCATCGATACCGTTGGTGTGTAGAAAATTGTTAATGCCATTGTACATGGCGCGAATCTCAGGGACAGTCCAGTGGTTCCGTCGTTTTTCGTGCGCCCAGCTGCTATCTGAGCGGCGTTTGATCTGGTTGATCCACTTGTGGTATGCGGAGACCCAGGCTTTATTGTTGGGGTCGGTGTTTTTGATCCGCGTCTCGCCGACATAGATCCCTTCGTACTTGTAGGTGCGGGCGTGAAATCGACGAAAGACAAATTTCGGAGTCCAGAATTCTGTTTCGTCATCTGCAGTTCGCTTCCATCGCCATGTGGAGACCCTGATCCAGGGAGAATAAGTAGCATTGTTCTCAGCTTTGGGCTTCTGGGGAACCTTGTATGCTATGAGCTCAGGAACGAAAAGAGTTTCGTGTTCATCGTTCTTGTCTTCTTCGGCCGACTCGCGCTGCTCAGGCAATATGTCTCTTTGTGTGTACCATCCGCTACCACCGGGCAGCTTGAGATGGAATACGGCTTTGATTTTAGTTGCATCCGTTTCGTGGGGCTTGAAATTTTCTTCTGGCCATCGTGGTTTGCTTATGAGTTCGCGGTCAATGTACGGCGCTGGATCATCCGACAATTCGCTGTCACTACCTTCGACCGCCTGGGGTAATGAGTCGCCACTGGAGTTGAACGACTGATCTGTACTTCGTTCTTCATCGTCTTGTACGTTGTCGATATCGACACAGTTAGGTACCTCTGGAAGCCTCTTCAACTTTCCATTGATTGGTGTCGACACTCCGCGTTGATGGGAAGTCTCATCATGCGAGTCATGTTCTTCCGTATCTTCTTCCTTGCTAATGCTGTAATCAGAAGGAACTGATATATCGAAAGTTGCATCGAGCTCTCGTAGAGGTTCTACGGGGATGTAGTGTGGCCTGTACAAAGTGATATAGTGACGAAGTGCCTAGTTGAAGTATGAGTGAGTTTGTACGTACAAACATCTCGGAAGGAAAACAATCCCATAAAACACAAAAACAAAAGGTCCTTGCTGCTTCTATCTTGTTCTACGTGTTGACGTACAACATGGTCGAAAGAGAGGCTATAGTGGAACAGTTTGCCGGTGCTGAGAGTAATGCCACTTTTGGAATTCACTGCCACATTTATAGTTTGGCCGAGTTTGATAAAGCAATGAAACTAAATTTGTTCGTCGCGTGGGCTACTCGTGACTTGAACGGATAAAAGATATATTGTGATGGTTTCAGTAGTAGTCATATATACGTTGAACATGACCACCAGCGCAATGTTAAGCTGCGTAGCACCAGACACGTTTTTTATCCATTCTTACATAACGCGCCACAGGCAGTGTGATGAAGACTGAATCTTTCTATCAGATCACCAGCTATCATCTCGTACGGGAAATTCATTTTGCCATGCACTATCACGAGCAGAACTTTTCTATTTCGGGCGCACGTTTTTCCGCTAGGTGACGGCTAAGATGTATTTGCGATTAGGGAAAGTGTCATGAGAGCTACCGTTCGGTTGTTCAAAACTTTCCTTTCACAGTGATTGATATACTGGCGATTTTGTAGCTTTGGAAAACTAGTGCGTGCAAACAATCTCCTGTGACATGGTGTTGGCCATGACACAACCGATGCAATCAATCACACTCCCTGAACTCGGAATGAGGGATATCTACTGCCATAGTAGCGAGTATAGGGTTCAAAAAGGCGCGAAAACTAGTGGAATGACTTGAGTTGCGAGTTCTGCTCAACCATGTACTATTCCCCTTCAATCACTTATCTCCTATCAAATCGCCACTTCTCACATTACTGTATACGTATATCGAGTAATTATCTTCTATACGAGCGTGGATTTTATTCTCACACATATGGACAACAAACATCGTTTTTTTAAGCCAAGTGAGGTCTGTTTTCATGCCAGTCCACAAACCCAACTCCAACGGCACGCTTACATGTAATTAGAATCACCTTTTCTTAGCTAATTGACAAACACATTTCTATGTGGATAGCTCGCTCTATGTAGCAAAAAGTCTCTAGCACTACTTCTTGCTCAGCGCGGATTGTATTTCGCGATCATGGAATACGGCCTACCTATGTGGTTATCTCGAATGACAGTGGTTGCTACAGACCACGTGATACATGGGTTGTGCGGGTCACGAGCTTCACGCGTGCCACCGCCCACGTGGATTGTCGAGCCAGTAGCATTAATTTGTGCTGATAGCGCAACAACGGTATATCGACAGAGCATGGATGCGGGGCATATGTAAGAGCGCAAGAAAGTTTCCTTGCAGTTCCTGGTGCTAGCGGCTCGTTCCGTCAAGCGCGACAGCAATGACGTACTGAACCCTCTGTTATTGGACCAGGAAGGCGTTGCGTACTTAACGTCTGCCACCCCTGTCCAAGTACATACTTACTACATACTATGCACACGATAAAAGGACCGTAAACGCTGGAACGCGCAATAAATGACATACTTCATGGATGCACAAGAGATGCAAGTCATGGCGCGAGAGGATCAGTCCGGATCAATTTTTCTGACTGGCAAGAGTGCCATCGACGGCGTTGTCGTCCGATTCAGAGTAGGATTACCCAAAGCTGTGTACTATGTCATTTTGGAGGCGTGCATACACTGTAGAGGTGTTTTTGAGGTGCCGAGTTTAAAATCGACGATGAAATTAGTGAGCGGAGGCTGAGTGTAGAAAGGTGAGATTCTCGAGGAAGGGCAGAAATAAGACGATGCTACACTATTAGCTACCCCCACATTCCCCCCACGATATAGCTCATTTCCATATTTGGCGAAGTACTACAACCCCGCATATATGATGCGCAGAAACTACCTAGCAACATGGCACCTGGACACAGCACGCAGGGGAGATAAAATCAACTCCGGATTTAAACATGCCGCCACATCAGTGTTTGGATCACTTGATCCTCTTTGTGCCCGCAGACCCGCAGACGCTACTCCCCCGCGTTCCCTCGTACTTGTCAGAGAATTTCACTCTGACTCCTGGCGGTTTCCATGCCGATGGTGCAACATCTAATGTTCTGATCATTCTCTCGGACGGCTGTTACATCGAGCTGATCTCCTTTGTTCCCACTGCCCCGACATCACTCGTGTCCAGCCACTGGTGGGGTCCTTCTTCCACATTTGTTGGCTGGAAAGATTGGTGCCTGACCAACAGCCTGCCTCCATCCCAGAACTATGATGACGTGAGAGAAAGTCATGGGGAGCCAATTCATGGAGGGAGGAAGAGGGCAGATGGTGTGCAAGTTAAGTGGAGTGTCACGTTTCCGAGAGGAGACAAGGGCGGACAAGACCTAAGGGGACGGGTACCGTTTTTCTGCCACGACGAAACAGAAAGGGGCGTGAGAGTGCCGATGGACAAGGAGAAGACGACGCATGCATGTGAGGCAGTGGGAGTCAAAGAGCTGACGGTCATCGTGAAGGATCAAGATGTGTTTGAGCAGACACGCAAGGTGTACCGAGCCATCATCGGCGATGAAGGCCAGAAAGAGAAATGTGAATCGAGGTTTAGACTTGGCCGTGTGCAGGGCGTGGCAGGGCTCAAGGAGGGCGCAGAAGTTGTGCTGCGGCTCCCGAGAAACGAAGAGGAGGAAGCACGGGTTGCAGAAGGAAGATTCTGGTATGGCGACGTTGTCCTTTACAGAACGGCGGGGCGTGGGGACACGGACAAGACAGGAAAAAGAATGGATGCCGAGGACGGGGACGGGGGAGTGGGCGGGTTGTGGCTGGAGGAAGTGGTAGGGCTGTGAGTTTGCGGCAGTATCTGGTATAGCGAAGACTTGGGGGCCCTTAGTTGTGCGCCGTGTGAATGTGATTTGTTTTTCTGTGGTCTCGACTTGCTTGTGGACGTGTCAGCCGCTGTTTCTTGCGGTCAAGTCGTCCGAAGGCGTGGGCAGGGGACGCGGTGGTGCTTCGGGCAAGAACACCGTAGCCAATCACAGGGCGACCAGACATAAATCCCGACCTTCCCTCGTACGTACAGTAGATTGCCATGACGCAGGCAGTCAAGAACACACCTAATCATCCAAGCTCCGCCCCCATGGTTTCTTGTTCTCGCAACATCACTCACTGCAACCTACAGATTGCCAGTGGCCGGTTCTGATGCAAGACGACCAGCGGCCCATAGGCTCAGCCTCGACTGCACCCTACTCAGCACAATTCAAAGTGGCCATTCCGCGGCTCTCTTCGCGACGCGCTCCGCCAGCAACCACTTCCAAGTCACGTCAGAGAGACCGGGTCCAACTAGCATGCCGCAACTGTCACAAAAGAAGTGGGTCGTCACAACCGCTCCCTCCACCCCAGCTAACCAGACAATTCCAGAAATCAAATGCAGTGGCAGTCTTCCCCGGTGCAACTACTGCGACAAGACCGACAGGCCCTGTGTTTATGAGCGTCCACGGAGAGACCGCCTGGCTCTGTGAGTACCCCGGACCATTTTCGCCCTGCCGTGCATGCCCTGACTCGCACACAGTGCCAATGCACGCAATGATACGCTAGTTTCCATCCTCAAAGACCTTAGTCTACGTCTCGACGGCGATGACAGGCAAAGGGTTGTAGATGCTCTCCAGGATGCAAGTCTTCAACCCCCCCCATGTCCCAGTATCAAGCCAGAACTAACTCGGCCTAGTCCGACGACGAATCCACCCCGCCAGCCTTCACATCCTCTTCTTCTCGCTCATCCGTCGCCTGCCTGTATCAAAAGCATTCTCACTTGCAGCCCACTATTGCTTCTTCCTCTACCCAGGCTCCAGGACCATCAACAGACTCGGACCAATCATCACTACCCCGGTTAGACGGTATCCTCCCGGACGAATCAGACGAATCAGACGAAGAAGCAGCGGCATATCTATTCGATATAGTCGAAGCAGGTTTCCCAAGCCAGGTTTCTGAAGTTCAATGGCTGCAGAGCCTCAAAAATAGAGTCCAGGTTGTCGGGCCCCTCGGCCTGGAACCAACAAGCGCTTCAGTGCCCATGGTATTTCCGACACCTCCGGCCCTTGTCCCATCGCTTGCTTTCACTCCAACCAACCAGGATCCCTCTATTGCTCCTATCACCTATCCTCCCATCACCTATCATCTTGATGACGAAGGTGTCAAGATTATGCATGGCGGCAATCCTTTTGAGCTGCCCTCGGAACAAACTGCAAGCTTTCTCTTCCAGTGTTTCAAACGCACTGTTCAGAGATCTTTTCCGATCCTTCCAGCCATGCTTGAGGCACAGCTGCATCAGTATTACAGCCTGATCCACAGCCACAAGGAAATACAATGCCCACAGAACTGGTTTGCCTTAGTCAATCTCGTCTTCGCCATTGGAGCCAAATTCTCTCATCTTATCCAAGCCGACTGGCGCGCCGACACTCTCGATCATGTTACATACATATCACGTGCTTATCAGCTGCTCGCAATGAATGACTCTGCCTTTGGTTTCTCGACTCCAGTTTTGTCTTCTACTCAGGTAGCTAACGTTTCCTCGGGGTCATTATATTATCGCTAATTGCCCGCAGGCAGCTGGTCTTTTTAGCATTTATTACATGAGTGTTGGTCATTTCAACAGGTAAGCGCCACTATGCATAATCTTCACTGGATCGATGCTCCACTTTATCATATTCTCACATCTGAAATCCTCACATACTGACTATGAATCGATAGAGCCTGGATAATGGTCCGTGGAGCCATGCAGTCTGCACTTTCCCTTGGACTCCATGTTCAGCAGGAGGACCATTCCATGTCTGCAGCCAGACAACAAAGTCGGGTAGACACATGGTGGAGTCTACATGCACTAGAGAGTCTCTTGGGCTCAATCACAGGTCGTCCAAGTACTCTTCCAGGTGACGAAATCACCACCCCTTCATCGAAAGCTTTTTTTGATGCAATATCCGGCACCTATGGACAAGGTGCACCCAGAACAACAAACATGGCATTCCTAGACGCCGACTCCAACTTGCACATAATAACGCAGCAGGTGATATCAAGTCTGTATACCCAGCGAAAATTGGTTCCCCCATGGTCTCACATCCAACGGAAAATGGTTGCATTGGTAGGAGATTTGGATAAATGGGTTGTGGATTGCGTTCCCCACTTCCATTCAGAAAATTGGGCAATGGATTACGCCCAACAGCGCAATAACTCTCTACTCAAACTCCAGTACTACCGCGTGAAGATCTTAATGACACGTCCTTCGCTTCGTCGCATCGAGCGCTCCACAGAATCTGGGTCGGGTGAATTCACCAGCTTGGACCAATCCATGGCCGAGGCATGCATTCAAGCAGCCATCGATGTGGTGGCACTGTTGGGGACAGTGCCTGATATAGCAACTTTGTACGAAAAGGGGCCGTGGTGGACCATTGTTCATAACGGTAAGTCTTCCTTCATCTATATACAGTTTCCCAATACTAACATAAGGGTACACATAGTGATGCAAGCCCTCGCTATTTTGATGAATGCGATTGCATGTCCAGATCATTTTGCCGATTCGTCTTCGTTGTCGGCACACGGTGTACGACAGCTCGTTGGCTGGCTGCTTGCCATGCGTGCGACCAACGTCATTGCGGCGAGGGCACACCAACTTGTGTATTCTCTCGTCAAGACATCAAACCCACAGGTCTGGGTCAGCATAGCAGATGTATTTCCAGACGATATTAGCATGGTGCTGCTGCAGCCTTCGCCGGCCCTCGTCGATCCAAAGTACGTGCCGTGGCCGGCGAAAGAATCGCCAATCGATGCGTGGTTTGAATATGATCTGAACAGCTTCTTTGGCTATAAATACCCTGCTTCAATATAAGGGCATGGTCGATTTTTCAATATTTTGTATAGATTTAGACGGCAACAGACTTGCAAAGAGTCAATGGCGCTACATCAGCGCTAGCTTGGTAGAGTAACTTGCAACAGTATTTCGGCATCGAGTAAAATGTCTGAGAGGATCATGCCTGCAAGAATACAAGGATTGGACGCGCAAAAAGAAAAAGAGGTATCGAGGTGACTATGACGGCTAGTGGATAGACAAGAACTGAGCGTTTCTTTTTTTTTACCCTTGGGAACGGCGAAAAGGTCAGTACAGGATGATACCCGTAAGTACCAATCGCCTTCGTGTAAGAGTAGGGCATCATGATTTGGGCGTTTGGGGAGACGCTTCCGGCTCACCATGTTGCTTTTGCTCCTGAATGATGAAGATTCAATGAATATAGACATGATCAGCAAAGAAGAAAAAGAAGATTCCCACCACTCGAGCCATGAGCTTGCATGGACACATGCTTGTTAACAATTGGTTGTCTTTCATTTCCATTGTGATATTACTACTGATGTCTTAGTAATCCCTGGCAAGCACACGCGTGCATCCCGTGCCAAAAACAACAACAACAACAACAACAAAATACCGCTTTGCCACCAAAACTTCTGAACATAAGTATGCCTCATGTGCCATGTCGAGCTGGGTCTCCCCTCCTATTCACGTTTCCCTAGCTGCGTCGCCCATTTTTTCTGGATCAATCTCTCCAATTATGTTCCTCAGCAAATCAGGCACTATCTGCGCTGCGTCGCCCTGGAAGAACCAATCGCCTTTGTGCAGGCCGCTAGCGGGCACATCGTTTAGATCCATGTTGATGATGGCAACCCTTGCACCCTTTGATCGTGCAAGATCAACGTAACCCGCGGCGGGGTAGACCTTAGCAGATGTACCAATCACCATTATGAGATCTATACCTCGCTTATCTGACATAAACGCGTCGACATCATCTATAACGGATCTCGGTAATGCCTCGCCGAACCAGACGACACCGGGTCGCAGCAAACCACGCTTGCACTCGGGGCAGCGGGGGAGGTGTGAGTAGTCAAGCTCAGGGAGGTCTACGTTTATGTCCGAGATGTCGAGTTCGCGGGCAGCGAGGGCCGAGTCAGTCGTGGGGTCGGACTCGTCGCTAGGGATAGCGAGAGCGGGTACAATGGGGTCGGTAAAGTTGTTGCGCTCAAAGTGCTTGCAGAAGAAGTCCGAGCATTTGACGTCGAAGAGCGAACCGTGGAGGAGCTTGAGTTTCTCAGGTGGATGCTGGGCACGGGGAGAGAGGCCTGTTGGAATCACTGTGAGCTATGAAGATATGAGGGGATGTAAGGACGTCACGAACCGTCGACGTTCTGGCTCAGTGTGATGAACTCGTCCTTTTTGCGTGCCAGCTCGGCAAGCGCATAGTGAGCGGCATTGGGCTTTGCTTTGAGCGCCATATGCCGCCGGTAGCTATAGAACTGCCATACCAGTGCTGGGTCCCGCTCGAATGCTTCTGGTGTCGCTAACGACGTTGCATCGTGTGTCCTCCACAGTCCGCCTGCGCCTCTGAATGTCGGTAGCCCTGATGAAGCTGATAATCCCGCACCCAGCAGTGCGAGAATGCGTGTCGACTTGGCCAAGTGCTGTTGGAAGCTCTCGAGCTCCTCCTGCGGGACCAAGCTCGGTCTGGCGGCCGAAAAGGCCATTCTTCGGATGATATGGGGGAATAACACGATGGCGGTGGTTATGGAGGCTTCCAAGGAACTTCTATGTGTACACGCAGATGGCGTGAGGTTTGTAGGCGTATCATGTAGGCGGCGTAGTCGTGTAAGGCAGACGTGTTTGCGGGGAAGGCGGAAAAGTGGCATGCAGGGCAGTACGTCAGATCGAGCCAAGCTTTGTGCCCCACTGAATACATCCGCTAGCGGCCATCCCGATCTGCTCCAGCCCGCTCGACGTTCAACCGGGGCTCGGGACACTGCCGCCCGAGACTTTGATTCGCCGGCGAACAGCAGGAACCACCGAGCCTCCGACTTTTGCATTAATATCACAATGACTTTGGTCGCCAGATTACTGCGGCCCACCACGCGCCTGCACTGCCGATGCGACACGAGACCTTTTGTGGGGTTACGCAATGGCCAGCTCATTGCTAGTACCAGGTCGTACACTGCCGTAAACGCAGTGCCCGCTGCTCAGCTTCGATTCGGACAGCCGCTGCACGAGACACATCCACACCTACTCAAGGCTGGGGAAGGTGATAACTACCCTTTGATCTATTGTGCTGGTACTAACAAATTCTGCAGTGACACCAGGAATCTCCGCATTAGAGTACTACCAGCGTCGCGTCGCCCTTGCCAAAGACCTTGCGCCTAATTCCGTTGCGATCCTCGCCGCCAATGAACTCAAGTTTGCTTCGGGTGCCGTCTTTTACAAGTTCCATCAGGATCCAGACTTTTTGTATCTGACGGGCTTCAAGGAACAAGATGCAGTGGCTGTTATAGAGAAACATGAGGATGGAGAGCATACATTTCATCTATATGTCAGGCCCAAGGACCCTAGTGCGGAGGCGTGGGAAGGCCCACGGTCGGGTGTTGATGCTGCAGAAGACGTCTTCAACGCCGATGTTAGTGGTAGCGTCTATGACCTGCCTCGTCTTCTCCCGGAAATCGTGAACCGCGTGCAGACCATATACACCGATCTCCCACAATCCCGGATTTCGAAGAATTTCCTTTCCCGCTATCTTGCTGGCGCAGAACCCTCGCGGACCGGCGGCATTTACAGTCCTCTTCGCGACTCTCCAGCAAACATCAAACCCCTTCGTCCTCTTATGAATGAGCTTAGGGTCATAAAGAGCGAGGCTGAAATCGAGAACATGCGTCACGCAGGTCAACACTCTGGGCGCGCCATCACTGACGCAATGCGGCAATCCTTCACCGCAGAAAAGGACCTCGACTCTTTCCTCGACTACTGGTTCAAACAAGACAACTGCGACGGCCCAGCCTATGTACCCGTCGTAGCCGGCGGCATCAACGCAAACACAATACACTACGTATCCAACGACATGCTGCTTAAACCCAACGACCTCGTTCTTGTAGACGCCGGTGCGCAGTACGGCGGATATGTAACCGATATCACACGCACCTGGCCTGTATCCGGGAAATTCAGCTCCGCCCAAAAAGACCTATACAACCTACTCCTCTCCGTCCAAAGAACATGTGTTTCGCTCTGCCGAGCCTCGTCAAACTTCACCCTCGATCAACTTCACCACACAGCCACTAACGCCCTCGCCGCCGGCCTCAAAGACCTTGGCTTCGACATGAAACCAAATAGCATCCAGACACTCTTCCCCCACCACGTCGGTCACTACGTCGGTCTAGACGTACATGATAGTCCTGGTCTTAGTAGAGACAGGAAATTGGAAACGGGCATGTGTATTACGGTTGAGCCAGGAATTTACGTACCGGATGATGAGCGGTGGCCTGCTTGGGCGCGCGGAATTGGCATGAGGATTGAGGATAGTGTTTGTGTAGACGAGGAGGGGCCATATGTACTTACTATTGAGGCGGTTAAGGAGGTTGTGGATATTGAGGCGTTGAAGGGGTGAGAAGACAAGAGCATGAGTGTAAGATTATATTGAAATGCAGGTATTGTAAAACTGGATTTAAGAGAATAGTATGATTATGTCCTCAGCCATTTCGTTGTCGTGGATCTACGTCACTGGAAAGGTATGCGTGCATGCATTTGTCCTATTGTTTGTATCGCTTAGCTGTGTTCTTACATACTCTCGCGACGGCTGCTCACACAGGAAGAGCAAGGGGTAGCTGAGAAAACCACAGTGAGCAAGGAGACGAGAAAGACAGACCACGGCCATTCTAAGGACTGATGTTGCTGATGCAATTAGTAGGATGGCAGGGGCACTGATGCTCGCCATTGGCCCTGTAAAATCTACCGATGAATCAACATTACTTACAGCGGCTTTACCCGCTATCTTCGAGCGACCTTACAAAGCGGATCGCATACCCGATTTCCGCCCCCCGAACCCAAAAACCCCGGCATCATGCGCAGCACGACAAGGGTATGGCAACCTCAATATACAGCCCGCAGTCGGTAACCGGGAAAATAGAGATAGGATCTAGTGGCGAAAGATTGAGCCGCGCATAATGCTATGTACGGAATAGATCTCTGGATCTAGAACCGCGTTGCATATTATCATTCCGGATCTTTGGATAAATACGATGAGATTTCCCGCTACCGGGTCGCCTGAAAACTACGAGTCAGTGATACTAGGGGACGATATCGAAACAATGAGCGGTGATCAATCCCAGCTGCGTCGGAGAAGCATGCAGCTGCGCCTTTGATTGCGCTGGATACGGAAATCAGGTCCTGCGTCAAGTTTGTAGTCCAGCTATACTTTTCTCGCCGCCCTCTACTTCTTTTGCTTGGATATCAAGTGACCATTGGACACCGAAAAAAAGAAGTTATATATCACAATCGAAAGCATACATGCGGAAGAAAGAGGGACGAAGTAAAAGTCGAGCCGAGAGCAGGATAAACTATTCATGATTACATCTCATACAACAACTTTATTTTTTACACCCTACGCCTAAGCTGCCAGTCTTACCTAATAACTATAGCAAAACAGCTCTCCCTTGGTATTCAGTAACTTAGCCAACTTGACCGTCCCCGCAACAGCCCCTAGCTGAATCTCAAACTCGGGCGTAATCTCTGTATCGTTCCCATAAACTTCAGGCACCAAATTGCCACCGACCTCGAAATTCCTCGTCGCAAGATCGCCCTGCTGCCAGAGCCACCAAAGCCGATCAATCGACGCGTGGTGCAGCCAAAACAACGGCTCACCAGGCGAATTCTTCACGTCACCGGCCTGTCCAAACACGCCGCCGACACCAAAGTGGCCTGCAGCGTGGATGTTGGGGTTGATGAAGTTCTTTGCGCCCTGCAGCGCGCGGTCGAATGCGACGTAAGTTTCTTTGCTAACGATATTCTCGGCGACCTTTGGGTCTGCACCGCGGTTGAGCAGGTTGGGACTGAAGTCGCGACGGAGACACTGTGGTTCGGGGCCCGGGAAGTTCAGCATGAAGTTCTTGGGGACAAAGGGGCCGTCTTGAATGCAGCCGCCACCGGTGCTGTTGATACCTAGTCGGTTTTCCTCGGGCGTAGGCACGACTCTAGGGCCGTTACCGCCGAAGCCGACGGTTGGGGAGAAAACATCGGTGTCGTAGATGCGAGTGGAGTTTAGATCTTGCGGATCGGCGTCGAGGGTGTAGTCCCAGTAGGGCTGGGCGCCTTTGTAGCCGCATTCGTTACGGAGGGTTTGCTCGTAGGCCCAGACGAAGTAGCGGTGCCAGGGGAGGAAGAAACCGACCCAGTGGATGTAGTCGCCCTGGTCGTGGTGAATGGCTTGGAAGTCGTCGTAGCGGTTCTTAGCATATGGGAACCCGGAGACTGAGGGGATCTTTTGGAGGCAGAGGACCGCGGAGATGTAGCTGCGTTTTTGGCTAGTGGACATTTGTCTCCTGTGGATAGTACTGTTAGTATACGACTCTTGAATGTTATCTAAGGAGGTTCTTCTCACCATTCAAGCCGCTTGGCAGGCTTCTTGCAAGTAGGGACATGAGGAGCAGGCAGTGCTGCTGCAAATGCCAATGAGGCCAGGCTCAGAGCAGAAGTGATGACTTGTAGTTTGACCATGATGGGCGATGGTATTACAAGTTACCGTCAACAATTCGGATGACACGAGAAACGAGCACGTCTGTCTATTCAGACAATGGCAGTGCCTCCCTTTTTATATATGCCATTTGCTGACATGGCGCCGAGTCCACTGTGCACCCTACCATCTGCTTGAGGCACGGAGGCAGGAAGCGTATACGGTATGCTAACTTGATGGGAGATAGGCGTGCAGTTGCTAAATGTAAGGCGTCTTGCATCTTAGCGAGAGATTTAGTCTAGGAGTTCCGACTATGCACGGTAATGCAGAATTAGCGGGCAGGGGTTAAGACCTCTATTTACGCTTCTAGAGAAAGTGCGCGCTTCTATTAGTAAGTTAACTTATATTAGTGCTAATATTATGCATAGGTATAATTTTTTTAGAGAAAGTTAAATATTTTAAAAATAGTAAAAACGTATAAATATACAGTTCTACTCTAACAGATTTTAATAGTACAAATTTATTATACTATAATAGTAAAGTTATAAACTATGATAATGATTTATAGAAAGAGAACATATGATTAAAGGTAGGTAGGACCAGATCTATTTAAGTATAGCTAACAATGAGACTTGGCCGCACGCGCTCTCAAGAGATACATAGCTGAGCTGCGGCGAATTCCTAACAAGACAGGCTCTGGATTCCAAATCTGCAAAGCACTAGGTGGAGGCATCCTGAATTGGCGAACTGGCGAATCGCAATGCACAGAACTTAGATTCCAAGATGAGAGCAGTTCAACAAGTACCTGATCGACAATCTTCCGCTGGACGAAGATGCACGGAAGCTGGTGTCGGAGTCACATAGCGTGAAACATGATATCGCTTTTACGCATGGAGATCTCAATCTAAGGAACATCCTGGTTGACGATGATGGGAAGATATCTGGAATCGTTGATTGGGAGTGCGCGGGCTGGTACCCCGAGTACTAGGAATATACCAAGGCACACTTTTCAGCGCGACATTCTATTCAGTGGACTGCGGATGTAATTGATCGGGATTTTCTTGGTTACCGCGACGAGGTGCAAGGTGAGGGTATGCTCTCTAGTATGGCGCCTCCTTGGTAGACTTGCGTTTATGCGTAGGTGACTTTACCGAACAAGTTGTACTATAAGTGAGGATAACGTTGCCAATGAAACTAGAAATGGTAATAGTAATGCGTCCTTCACGATATACACTACTCATAAAGATGCGTTACACGGGATAAATTTAACCTCCCCTTCTTTCATGCTAATCTAACTATACCTTTTTAACTATGTAGTTATGTAGTTAGAGTGAAGTTTAAGCTAAGTTACATTACGTAAGTAACAAATAGACTTATAGACTTAGATCCTATAAAGAAGCTGTTAAACGAGCGTTAAGTCTATTATGATCTTTGCTTGCGTCATACTTATACTCTTTATCCTTTCTATATTATACCTTTTAGTACCTAAACTAAAATTTTAATATCTATTTGTATAAATTAATTAATATATTTTTAAAGGAAATAACTATAGTATTGAATAACTTAATACTTTTAGAGAGAAGCGTATAGGGTCGCTAAAGCCGCATACAGAAAACCCACCCCCTGCCCGCCAATCCTGCACAATGCGCGCCAACGTCGTACCACTAGCATTAGGTGCGGAAGGAGTGCCAATTGCCCAAGCATCCAAAGGCGCACATGTATGCAATGACTCAGCACAAGTATGTAGTGGCGTACGGATCGGCAACGCATTCGATAAAAAGAATCGTTTGGGGAAATCTGCTTCTATTGGCAGAAGTCTGGTTAGGATGGGCACAACCAAGCATTGGTATTTGGTCAAGATTGTACTTATTACCAAACCCCAGACCTATTATTGGTCGCGGAGTGTAGATTCAAATCAATCAAAAGTGCGGCTGTATGCCAAGCGGATTGTTAAAGCAAGGGTCGACTCAATCCCTGCATGCCTGGGGACTTGGCTCATCTCCGCCACTTGTTTGCTGGGCATTTTTTTCTTGCCTGTAGGTGGTTGATACTGGAGCGAACGGTTCCAGATATTTTTTTTTTGAAATATCGACAAGGCTGCAATAGGCGGTCCCTCCTACCTTTTCTTTACTAGTCCGGAGGCGCTGGTTACACATGGTACAAAACTAGCAGCGACTGCATGATGATTGCGGGGGTGAAAAAAAAGACTGTTATTAATAAGGCAACCAGCCTCAGCATCCTTCAAGTGTCGTCGTTGCGGCTGCCATGAAGGACGGGATAATTGGACCGTCGGTGTTCAGCCTGAAAAGGAAATAGCGGTTGTAGAAGTGAAAAAACCAGGGTTGGATGCAGGGATAAGAACGCTGTGGAGGAACCAGATCCAAGGCAGCTGGCACTCCCGCAGCCGATATTAATTCTTGTATACTATACCGAAGAAGGAAAAAAGCAGTGCAGACAATGCGAGATGAAGGGCTGGAAAGACTAGCCGCCAATTTTCGTGATGCAACTCGATTCCAGCTGGTTTTTTTTGAATGTGTGTTTCGCGCGTGTATAAGGATTTTCGTCCAGCCTGGACTTACATTAGTTTATTGACAAACTTTTCCTATTCGAGGCTGAGAAGCATGTAATACTAATCGCATGAACGCTTTCTGCATCCTTTGTGTGCAGGGGATATCGGCGACCTTACATCTATGTATGGTTGTTGCTTAGAAATCTACGCTAGACTTCCCGAGCCGTTGAAAACATGCAATGCGATCTGCCAGCCTTGTCAGCTCTTGTTCTGGAAAGTCCAACTGCCAATGAAATACTCAAAACGGAAAGTTGTCATAACTAGAGAAAAACATCCATCATTATCCGAACACTCATACACATCAAAGTTTCTCCATCCTCCCGCCCTCGAGCCTAAAAACCTTGTCCGGATTCAATATCCCCTTCTGATCCCACGCCACCTTAATCGCCCTCATACTCTCAACCCCACTCTTCCCAACCTCTTCCTCTAATGCATCCCTCAACTCCAATCCAACACCATGCTCTCCCGTGATTGTACCTTCAAGACTCAGCGCCAACCTCGCCACATCCCTCAACACCGCCTCTGCAGCCCGGCGATCAGCTGCCGGACAGATAATCGCAGAATGCACATTGCCATCCCCAACATGTCCAACATTAGCGCAGAACCAACCTCCTTGGTTCCCCGTCGCAGCAGCAGCCTTGGAAATGAGTGACTGCGTGCCCTGAACGAGATCTGAAAGTTTGGATATAGGAACCGCGCAGTCTGAATGCAGAAACACGTCCGAGGGACTCTTCTTCATACAAACAAGTGCTTGTCCCATGCATTTCCGCGCTGCCCAAATAGCGCTTGTGCTCTCACCATCTTTTTCTTGAGATGCGACGTAGAACCTACCCGCGGAATGCTTGCGACACAACGCGTCCACGATACGCTGTTGCTCCCACACACGCTCGATCGACGGTCCCGCGATTTTGAAGAACAGAGTTGGAATCTCAGCCCACTCCATGCTAGATAGACGCGAGACATTGACGCACTGCATTTGCGGGCCGTCTGCTAGCTCCAAGGCTTCCAGCACGTGCCCTGTTTTCTGGAGTTCGACAACGAAATCCACGCCGGACTGGAAAGAAGGGAACGTGGCGAGACCCACGTGCAGGTTCTTGGGGAGTAGGGAAAGGCGCAGCACGGCTTCTGTGACGAGTCCGAGAGTGCCTTCGGAGCCAATGAGAAGGTGAGTGATGTCGTATCCTGCAGAGGATTTGCGAGGCCGATTATGAGTTTTTATTATGCGGCCATCTGCCAGCACGCAAGTCAGAGAAATGACATTTTCTTTCATGGTGCCGTAGCGATAGGCGTTTGTGCCTGAGCAAGACATTGCTATCTACATTATCCCTTTTATTTTAGCATACGGCGTTTCCAATATGGAGGGAAACGAAAAAAGAAGAGGACGTGTAAGAAGGTAAGAAAAGAAGAAGAAGAAGAAGAAGAAGAAGAAGAAGAAGAAGAACTCACCATCCCCCCAATCTTCGCCCCAGGCGCAGGATCGACTGGAAAAAACAAGCCCTTACTTTCCAACTTTTCATTTAGCTCCATCCATCCCAATCCCGGCTGCACAACAACATCCATATCATCTTCATGCACTGCGATAATCTCTTTCATGCGCTCAAAACTAACGCATACGCCATTACGGCTCGCCGTGAGTGCGCCGCCGAAACTCGTTCCGCCGGAAAACGACGTGACGGCAATCAGCCGGTCGTTGCACGATTTGAGGATAATCGATGTTTGCTGTGTTGAAGTAGGGAAAAGAACCGCCAACGGTGTCTCGCGAGGTGCGGCGGGCGAGTGCGTGGTGTTGGCTTTGGCATCGCGCTCGTGGGTATCAAGCGTGTATTCAATGCCATGCTTGCGCAGCTCTGCGAGTAAACTTTCAACGTTACCCGGTGAGTGGTCGTACGTATACGGTGACATGTTTGGATGTGTTCTGAGACAGCTTTTATGGTACAAGAGGATAAAGTTTGCGGATGTAGCCGGGGGATCTGGGGAAGTGGGAGCCGAGGCGAGTCATGCGGATTCGGAAATAGCTTACCAGGCTATTCCTGGACACTCGGCAAGTCACCTGGGTATTTGCAAGTAGAAAAGTCACTATCGGGTGGGTATTGTTACATTGTACATCAACGCTATGAAACTTATTGAATCCCAATCTCGACCCATGCCGATAATATTGAACAAACTCAAACTCCGTGTTAGCATGAACATGACATGCAAAAAGTGGGTATCGAGAAACCATCGTCCGTTCAGAAAGTCCGTCCAGAAACAACAATCCGTAATCGTCCCCTTGCCTCAGCGTTCCTCCTCTTTCTCAATAAAAAAAAAGTAATGAGATAAATCTATTTAGCGAGTGATGTGAAGTCATGTAAAAAAAAATAGCAAACCGTATGTCTCATGTTCCACTCGTGTCACAACAGTCTAATGATTATGGCAAATCACCATATGTCTTTTTGCTGCGCCAGAACTTCCTGCTCTTCTTCTCTTCCTTGACTGGCGCAGCACGAGTGACTGGCGGCTCTGGCGGCCCAGAGTTCATGAGGAAATCGGCTAGGTCGCTCGTGCCTGTGCGTGCACCTCCACCTCGGGCGTCACCAGATGCGGGTGCCCTTGCTTGGAGGCGAGGTTTGTATGAACGTGCGGCATCGGAAGTGATTGATGTTGAGGTCAAAGAGCCAGGATGCGCGCCACCATTGCCATTGTATGGCTGCGATTTCGACGAATTTGCACGCGCGCGTGCAGCAGCAATGGTCTCCTCACTCAACATAAAAGGCTGAGGTTTGCTGACCGATGGGGGTTCCATGGCATTGAGGAAATCCATCAGACTCTCCTGTCTTGGTGCAGCTTGTCGCGGTGGCTGTGCCGGAGCCTGTCTGGGTGTTTGCGTTCCGCTAGGCGGAAGTGCAGTGAGCTGATCTTCGTCTTCATCCTCATCATCCTCCTCATCAGAAAAGTCAATCGCATATGGGTCCTTGATGCGCCGCCTCGTTCGCGTGACTTGAGGCTCATCATTGGAGGCTGACATGCTTCCGCTCAGCTGCTTTGGCGTATTGGAATAGGCCGGCTGCACAACACCAGGGGATGCGATGAGACCAGTTCGAGAATTGATGGTCTGGGCACTGTTCTTCGATTCTAACGTTGATGCTGCAGAGCCGTACGCTGATTCAACATTGCCGTGACCTTCCAGCATGCTGTCAAACTGATCAGAATCCACGGTGCTGCGGAAGGGGGCAACACTCCGAGGGATTCTAGGTTGCCCATTGTTCGCATCCGGGGGTCCTTGCCTGATAAAGTCAATCAAGTCGCCATTGCCCGTGCTCAGGCCTGCCGGACTGCGTGGCTCCATGTTGGCACGTGCTCTTGCAGAAGTCCCGTTTACAGAAGATGATCGTCTGGTAGATAGCTTCCGGCCGAGTGAAGACGATGAGATGTTGCTAGGCTTCGAACTTGGATTCTGTCCGTTCATGCTAACAAAAGGTTGCACAGGCTTCTCCTGGCCAGGCGAAGGGCCAGTTGACCGGATGAAGTCGGCAAAGTCGCGCATTGATTCTGACTCGATCTTTGGGTCTCTTGCAAGCGGTCTGGTAACTACGCTGCGGCTAGGCGATGGCCTGTGGTGGGTCCCATTGGACGACTTTGCCCTAGGTGCAGTCGTGTTGGGCAAGTTTGCAGTGCCGTAAGACTTGTCGTCAGCATGGACGCGAGGATATGGCTTTGCGGAAGATGAAGATGATGAGCGATGCTGCACAGGCTGATGCGGTGGCGTTTCCTGCATACCGTTAGTGGGTTGAAAAGGCAGCGGTGTTTGTGACTTACATCAAGGTCTCGCATGTTTTGTGGCGTCAATGTGAACTTGACCGTCTCCTGTCCTTTAATCAAAGAGTCAAACTCACGCGTCCGATCTTCTTCTGACATGCGTCCACTCAAGCCTCGCGAACGGTAGCTAGAAACGGAATCCCGTCCGCTAGAAGTCACAGGGTAGACAACCTGCTTCTTCAGAGAAGAAGATGTCGAAGTGCCTCGCTTCAATGACATATTATCTGAGGGGGACTTTTCAGAAGGTGCACTCTGGGAGCGGACAGATTCTCCGGTCGATATGCGTTGCAGTCTTCGATCTGGTACTTGCATGGGAGGGTCATGATTTGTTGAGGTGGAGTCGCGTTTTGATTCTTCGTAAGTGGGAGAGCTGGATTTGCGCATACCTAGAGAGCCGGCCTTCTCCACGGGCTGCGTTGGATTACTCTCCACCTCATGCAAAGCAGGCAACGACGAGGCGAGGGATGGGGAACGAAGGCCATCCTGTCTCCGTGGGGCACTGGTGGGACTCTCGTGTTGAATGGGGCTGGATGTGACATCTCCATTGCTGTGTGACTTTCTTCCAATGTCTTTTCGAATAATTAGACGCTCTCCTCCCGCATACTTGTCATCCGGCGAAGAATTGTTGTGACTCTGCAGCGAAGTCGGAGTAGAAGTGCGAGGCTGGACTTCTACATAAGCTCCCCTAGCAGGTGGTCTGCTGGGTTCACGAGCCATCTCGTCTGGAGTAGTAGATGTTGATCGGATAGCATTATCGGCGGTGCGGGCAATACCGATTGCCTGGGGCTTTTCGGGCTCCTCTTCGGATAAATCGTCGTCTAGGTATGATTTTCCTTCTGCATGAGTGGTTGCTTTTGGCGTCAATGCAGGCGTGTGTAGAGGAGACTTGATACTCGAAGTGCGGGTAGAACTACGAGCTGAAAAAGTGCGCACCAAACCCGGAGGCCCTGGCCGTTCTATGGACATTCTCTTGGAGCTCATGACCTTTCCCACGCTCTTGGGGCTAATATCGTTGATCACGTCAAGGCCGTCTGGGTTCTTGCCCTGGACGTCAGCGGGTTCGGGAGTACTCATTCTGAAGCCCAGGCCAGTAGCTGCTGTAAATGCCACCATCGAGGCGTCATCCTCGTGCGATTCGTCTCTTGGAGATGGCACCGAGTGTTGGTGCTTAGACGAGTCGTCGTGAATTCCATCATCGGCTGGCTCGCTTTCAATTGAAGTATGAATGGATTGCTCATCTTCATCAACAGGCCCTGTGGGAACAACGAATGCTGGTAACTGCGAAAGGGGCAGAGAAACAGGACGCGCTTTCCTACTCTTCTTGGTTGGAATGACTGAAGAGGAAATCATAGCACTCGAAGGTCGCCGTCCTTGTGAGTATGGTGCATTGTCTGTATTTTCGTCCTCGTCCTCATATGTGGGTGCCAATCCAGGCACTTCAATTTCATTGATGTCATTGCTGCCAATTGGAAGAGGTATGTTGGCTGCAATTTCCGTCTCAGTAGGTTGGTGCTCGGGCAGGTGCTCGTGACCGCTATGCACCGTGTTGATTGTGTCACGGCTTGGCTTTCGCATGGGCAAGCTCGTGTAACTTGAGGTGGAGCGCATTCGTCGTATGGGAGTAAGGGGCATAATAGGAGATCGCACACGTTTCTTCCACGTCCTCCAAAGCCTTCCCAAAGCAGAATTGAGTGCAATCTTCTCTACATCAGGCTCCTCTATGGTCAGGCGTTCGATTATAGGCTGTTCTTCGTGTTGCTCCATTTGCTGGGACAGCTTCTGTATCCGCGACTCCATGCGCGCAAAAGCTGCGGATCCAGAGACAAGGAGCAGCTGTTCAGCGATGAACTCCATGACCGAGGTCAGGAAGATGGCAGCTGCCCATGACACCAGGCCAGCTTCATCATCCTCGTCCTCGTCCATGCTGAGCCCGCGCTCTTGCTGGACATACCTTTCCTCGTCTTCATCCTCCAATTCACCCAAGCGTGTGTAGACCATGATGCGCAGGCGAGTGCGCTTCCACACTTTTTCTACATCCCATGCGCCATTGGCCTTGCCGTTTTGTGTAGGCGACTCATCATCATCCTCGGCAGCCAGCAAGCCCTGTAGCTCCTCGTCGGCGTATTCCATGGCCTCGCGGGCAAGGCGCGGCTTGAGGACATCGAGTATAGCTGGTCGGATGGCTGTCAGAGACGGTGCTTTGGCAGAAGAGAGAAAGGCGAAGAGAAGATGGTCGAGAAAGCCATTGAGGAGGGCCAATGCCTGCTCGGAGAAGATGGCGTTTTGCAGCTCGTCGTTGTCTGCATCTTCGTCGCGTAACTGGGCATTCTGGTGGTCGGTAACGGTTTGCGAAGCTACGGATGCAGCAATGTAGGCGGGCGGAGGTCTGACGGTGGTGGGCATCTGGAAGGTGACGGAGCTGCACAGGGAAGGAGAGCGCTCGCTGCTGAAGCTGTGTGTTCTGCTGGAGCGCGACGACGGCATGGCGGCCGTCTCGGACATTGTATGTCTATGCATGGCGCAGTCAGGCGTTTGCAGCACGTCGCTGCGAAACACAAAAGAAAAGGTCGTCAGAGGTGCGGGCAGCGGGCAATTGGGTGGGAAAGGGTCTTCGGAAGGTGTTTTCGCCCGCGACCCTGGCTGTGGCGCGGGTCGAGGAAGAAAAGTGTCGGGGTGACGCTAGGAAGAGGGTGCAGGTCTAGACGTATGACGATGCAGAGAGAGGCCGTCAGCGCTTCATGGCGGCAGGCAAGCCTCGTCAATGCTCAGAGAGGCGGATGGCAGGACGAGAAGGGAGACGAGGCAGTGGAAGGGAGGGGGAGATTGGACAGTATCAGATAAAGCGTCTAGTCCGGGGGGCTTGTTCCGGCTCGTGATAGGGATCCCAGACGGCGATCGTGGTGTTCGCTAGGCTGGGCCCTTAGCGGGCACCGCTGGTACCGAACCACGATCACCTTTGTCTCTCTCGTAGCTCCCACGCCTGAATCGTGGTCTCGGCCTCACGGACAGACAAAGACGAGGACGAGCAACAATGGCGAGGCCATGTTGCATGATCAACCACACGAGTCCGTGTGCTGTAGCTGCGTCCATGTTGCAATGGCGCCATGTCACCGTTGTTAGGCGGTACGTCGTATACGTACTTAGAAGAGAACGCTCGCGCATCCCTGCATGGCCCACGCCTAGCCGCATCGGCCGTGCCCTGAGAAGTCCTTACTGCATCTACTTAGTGCAGCTACTGGATCTGACCTGTTTCCCCCTTGGACACGACTATGGCATTCGTACTTTATTGCCATATTCTATCGCTGCTCTCTGCGCTCGGCCGGGTCAGGCAATGCCCATTTCGACGGCCTAGCTGCTTGGGGAACGCCGCAGTACAACCGCAGCGCATCAGGGCCAAGTATCCAGCAGCGCATGTGCATGTGGACTTGTCGCACCATCCGGCAAATTTCCGACCCTTCGCTGTACCTGCAGCTTTCCTCCCCCTAGTTCACCACCACGTTCGGTCCCGACACACGCTGCCAATGTCTGTCTGTGAGCGCATGCAAAACTCGTGCGTACGCCCCAATTGCCTTGTTACCTCGACGACGCAGCCCGTCTGACCCAGCGACTTGGTTAGGAGCCTGTACATATCCGAGTCATCGCACCGTATTCGCTAATCTCAGGGGCTCGTCGAACAAGTCAAATCACCTGTAGACATATGGCGCATGTGTGCCAATGGCCGGTGCTGGACACCATTGCGACGGTCCCTCTGCCGTTTGCCCATGACTGAGTTGGGCGCCTTATTGTTTGACCCCGAAGTATGTTTGTAGTATATTGTCTCTTTTTGGCAGACCATACGTCACTCAGCTACCCTCTGTACCATACTTTGCCTACCAGCTGAATGCAAGACAGACGGCGGATTCGCTACAGTAAGCTGTCTACTGCCCGTTGGCTTGTTGGTGTCAACGGTCGAGCCAGGAAACAAGATAAAACTACTACGAGGCCCAACGGGCTCCCACTCGTTGTCCTGGGTCACTTGTACTGAACAGCATGTGTGTGTGTGTCACGTGCAAAAAATGGCGAAGGCGTGTTCCATGTCCACCATGCGACAACAAACAGTGAACATCACGACAACTGAGGAGAGACGATGCAGACCCCGCATTTGAACAACAACATGCATACATGTCTCTAATACTATATTCGACCAACCCCATGACCATCGGCCTCATTATTGATGGCCAACTACCGCGCTGTTCCCCAAAGGAAAGAGCATCGAGTTGCTGTTACCTCATGGCAGCCTCTGATTGGCCACTCCCCATATGCCAAGCCCTGTCCCCTCACCTTGCTACGACTTCGTGACATTCGACTTGAACCTCTTCCAGTATATATCCTCGATTTTTGCCCTTCTCAGTGTTTGTGCCACCTTCTCCACACTCTTGTTGCTCTTCCTCGTCTCGGTCTGCCGAGTGTGTATCAAGATGATGGATCCATGCCCATTTACTTCTTCAAGAAGCACCAGCACGGAGCGTTTAGCCAGAGAGATCCGAGGTTGTCTGGCGGAAGATGCAGAGCACCATTATTCAAGCTGAGAGAAGCCACTCCCGTTATTCGATAAGTTTTGCAGTGGCGGCTTCATGTTCCATCCAGCTTTCCGTACAGCTTCTCGTCGATCCTAGCCTGCGGGACCGCAGCAACACCAGCAAACGGTCGCGATGCCCCACCGCTGGCTAGCCGGTATCTGCAGTCCGGGCAAAGCTCATTGCTGTTAACCGACCCCATCTTCTCGGCATAGGTGCAGGCTATAGGATGGCCGTTGGCAAACCGAGACCTGCAGCACGGGTCGCCAACAAACTGATCGCGCCCCCAGTGGCGGCACGGCCGGTGATAGACGTGCTCAACGTAGCACATGTGTGGCTGTCTGGTGAGGCGCTTCCGATAGCAGGTTAGGATTTAGTTTCTCTGCTGGATATCTTGGAGTCATCGCTGACCGTTTTCCAGGCATATATGTGCTGGCTTACAGTAAACAAACATGCAAACAACACCCATATGAGACTCCGTTGACCAAGGCTAAGACCCACCATACTGCTTGCTTGTGCCTTCACAATCGTATTGTCACCAATAATTTTTCATCCCGTCTGCCCCCCGTCGGGCCATCGTGTTTGGGACTGGTACAGGCGGCAGCGGAACTTGTGCCGCGTCGACAATCTCGAACAGGTACCATTGTGGAAACTAAACAGTCGTCAGGCTTCATTGTTTCTCTGGCACAAGTCTCACCTCTGCCGGCGTCGCGCGGGACTTGTGCGGGCGAGGGCTTGTCCCGCCCTTGCCAAGACAACCACTACCAGAGTCTCCCGACACCAGAAAATAAATGTAAGGTTTCTGGTCGTCTTATATGTGGGTTAGATAAATATCCAGACACGTTTTGTTGACTTGTTGCAGAACAGTTGGTGGCTGTGATTGGTTCGAGCCGAGGGCCTCGAGGAATGGGACATATACACTACGTCGACGCACTTGCGAGCAACACCAAACACCCCAACAAAGTCTACCCCAGATCTGCCATGCACCATGCCACTGGCGCCGGTCCCTAAACCTAGCCGGCTTCCGAAAGTCGGTCGTATCCTTGGTCGTTCCCGTCTTGCCCCGACCCTCTCGTTCAGCATGGTCTATTGCCTGCTGCAGGTACAGCCGCTCTCGACACCCAACCAGAGGCAGAGGGTGGTGCTGCAAGTCATGACCTAGAGCGGGAAGTGAAGGGGGCCGTGCAAAGTTGGTGTCTGGGTATGCATGATGGGTGTCGCAGCAGACACAACAGGGCAGGAGAGTGCAAGGGCTCATTGAGGAATCAGATTGGTGTCGAGGCCATGACAAAACCATGATGTGCTCATGCCAGGCATTGTCTACTAGATACCATGCCCGGATATGTCTTTTCTTGACCCCCGGATGGTGTTGGTTTCCTATCGGTGAAGGCCACACGTGCCAGCGCTTGCCCAGCACCATGCGCCCCATCTGATAAGGGTCGCTGCGAACCATACACCCACAGCGGCTGCTCCTTGACTTGATCAGCAGCTATCTAAGTATAATCTGGGGAAGATGCAAGCCTTTTGGAACCCCTTCCATGTGCTGGGAGGGCCCGCAGCTTTGCCTAAAGCGGACATGACACGGCCACACCACCGGTCGCTGATATGCAAGGCCAAAGCCAGGCGGATGGCGACTTTTATATCAGTCTTTTGAGGAGCAAAACCGATTTTGCATACAATGTGGGCATGTTCACGATAGGTGTTGTGTCGCTGCCACATGTCAGTCAACGAGGCCGGCGGCGTTACTCGATAGCCTGACGTAAAGTCGGAAAACCATTTTTCCCCTTATCTTTCGGGCCAGGGGCGTGGGGCTTGGCAGATCGACGGCACGCCCGCAACCCCGCCAGGCCCAACGTCGTGCAGACTAGATAGTGGTGCCGATATGGCGATGCGGCTTTTTTTGCCTGCGTCGGGACAAATGGTCGCGGTGGACGGGGTTGATTAATGGCGCACGTGGGGTGCGGGTGGGTGAAGGAGAGGGTTGAGGCAGAGGTGGGTTTGGAATCGGATTCGGTTTTTGGGCATTGCAATTCACGGGGGGTGGGCGACGGCGGCGTGGAGCTGACTTTCTGACTGTATCGCAAAGAGCGGGCTGCAGGAGAATCTGTGGGGTCGGCATGGAAATATCTCAGTCTGTGCCTGGAGGAGAGGCGGGCCCAATGAGCAGCGAGCCATTGAACCGTACGAACATGGTAGTCTAAGCAGTGGGCTTCTGGAACAGTGCACGTCCAGCACCCAGGACACAGCGCGGCCAGCCGGGCGCAAGAAACGATTAACTTGACTACAAGAAACGTCGCGGCAGAGAGTTTAGTGATGCTGGCATGACGAGGCACAGTAACTGTAACCGCAGCGATTGGCGGGCGGGCTTCTTATCGCCCCCGCGACGTCAGTGCCGGGCAGAGGCAACGGGGCCCTGGCCAGCAGCAAGAAGCAGCATATGCAGGTGTCGCGAGACGTCTGCACGCAGGGACGGCGCTGCTCGTGTTGGGCTGGCGGCGTCGACGATTTCCTCGAGGGATCCGATGGCGGACGGCCAAAAAACAACAGCACAGGTGGAGCGGTGTGTGCAATGCAAATGCTCTGGTTTGGGCCCCGGTGGTCTGCCATGACCAACAAGCTGGCGTTGAGCGGGTAAATTTAGCTACACTGAGGCGACGGTTTCCACCTCCGCCGCGGTCAAACTCGGAACCGCCTGAGGCTGTGCGTTCCGAGCGCCGCGCCAAACCGAAACCGCTCGTGTACAGACGCCGCGCCCATCAGCAAACCTCTCCAAGCTCTCCAGACGGCCCTGCGCTGTGTTGCTCGTCGCGTTTGCATCCCAGAGCGCAATAAACATTGTGTGCGTGTGTGTGTGGCTGGCAGGGCCTTGCAAGTGTTCCAGCCGGGCGGCGCCCCGGCGTAAGCGGATGCTCCACGGCCGGGCGTGGGCTCAGCATGCTGGGTGTGCGGCCCTGTGGTTGCGCATTAGAGAAACGGATTGCTTCCTCATCCCACGGATACAGTCCGGCGACGGCTCTTGGCTACGGCCAACCTAGTTACTATCTGACCACACCTAGCCCCGCCACATGCCGAGACAGTCAACCCATTCCACGACACTTACCTTATAACTGAACCCTCAGCCCGCTATCCTTATCTCTCTTCCCCATTCACTCTCCCCACTTCCACCATATAACCCCTCCTCCACGCCCTTCTTCTCCTGGAAAACATCGTTTCCTTGTTCCTCCCTCTTCAAGTTTGTTCTCCTTTTTTCCCCTACCACGCACATACAAACCGCAGTCATGGTATGCTTCTACCCTGGGCCCTTTGTTTATCCTGCTGTTACTCACACATGCTACAGGCGAACTCCACAATCATCTCCAATGCTGCCAACGTACGTTGAAACCTGCTCGCGTGCTCTCGTCTGCTCTCACTCGAGCTCGTTCTAACATTCTACAACAGCTACAGAAGTACCTTGACCTCCCCCAAAAGGGCAATGTCATGGCCGAGTATGTCTGGATAGACGGCTCCAACGGCATTCGCTCCAAGTCCAAGGTCAGTTCTTTCTTCTTCTTTTTCTCTTCACCTCTTCCATTTCCCTCAACCGATCATGGTTTGCGGCATTTGTCTGCAGCCCGCGATCGCGATGCAGCCTAGTGTGCAGCTTGCAGGCTTTCAGCCTCGGGAGAATCACTGGCTGCGATCCACTTGGCGGTTCACAACCGGCAGAGTCACGATCGTGGTGCTCTGCTTGTGTGACGTACCCTGCGCCAATCGCTGTCGCAACAGGCATAAATGGCGTTCCTTATCGCGACCCCACGATAAGCCATCCACCAGCCACAGATTGCGCGCGGCAGGACCTGCGCAACTTCTGACGTCTACCCCTCCACTTCCCCCCACTCACTACCCTTGCCCTTGCAGCCCAGTTCGACCAGGCGCATGTATCCTGACATCAGTTGCAGACCCTGAAGAAGAAGGTCGAGAGCCTTGACGACCTCCCAGAATGGAACTTTGACGGTTCCTCAACTGGTCAGGCGCCCGGCGAGAACTCCGATGTCTACCTCCGCCCGGTTGCCTACTTCCCCGACCCCTTCCGTCGGGGAGACAACGTCCTTGTCATGTGCGAGACCTACATGTCCGATGGCACCCCCAACGCATACAACTTCCGCCACGATGCTGCCATAATCTTTGAGAAGCACAAGGAGGCCGACTTCTGGTTCGGTCTCGAGCAGGAGTACACCCTTCTCGACGAGTTTGGCTGGCCATATGGCTGGCCCAAGAACGGTTTCCCCGCCCCCCAGGGTCCTTACTACTGTGGTGTCGGTACTGGCAAGGTCTTTTGCCGTGACATCGTCGAGGCCCACTACAAGGCCTGCATGTACGCCGAGATCAACATCTCCGGCACCAATGCCGAGGTTATGCCCGCCCAATGGGAGTACCAAGTTGGCCCCTGCCCTGGCATTGCCCTCGGTGACCAGCTCTGGATGTCGCGCTTCCTTCTCCACCGCGTTGCTGAGGAGTTTGGTGTCAAGGTTACCTTTGCGCCCAAGCCCATCCCTGGTGACTGGAACGGTGCCGGTCTCCACACCAACGTTTCTACCGTTGACACCCGTGGTGAGAACGGCATGAAGGCCATTGAGGCCGCCATGGAGAAGCTCTCCACTCGCCAAGCCGAGCACATGGCTGTCTACGGTCAGGACAACCAGCTCCGCATGACTGGCAAGCACGAGACTGCCTCATACGACAAGTTCACCTGGGGTGTTGCCAACCGTGGCTCCTCTGTCCGTATTCCCCGTGCCGTCGCCGCCGAGGGCAAGGGATACTTTGAGGACCGCCGCCCCGCCTCCAACGGTGACCCATACCAGATCACCGGCATAATCGCCGAGACCATGTACGGCAAGGTCGAGGGTGCCGACATTGCCAGGTTCGCCAAGAAGGCCGAATCTGTCGAGACCGAGATGGTCATCGAGGTCAACAAGCCATAAGAAGCTTTTCTTGTTATCATGTTCGGTTCTCTTTTTTCCCCCCCCCCATACCCCCAAATTTATTTCGCGCTTTAGACCACTTTGGGTTTGACATGTTGCCGCGCTTGTTCATGGAAATGGACTGGTTTGTCTGGCTGGGCTTGGCCTTGTAGAAATTTTATCGACTTTGGTGTTTTGTCGAATGATGACATGTTTTGGTGCCAAGGTATATCTATATAGATAGGGTATATCATGACCTGTGTTGTGGGAACCTGTTGAGTTGCATGACATGCAATGATTTAATGAAGATGATTTTGACTATTGCATTTCAGCTACTTGGGGAGAGAGTCTCTCTTGATTATTTCATGAAGTTCTCTTATGACTAATTTGCTCATCGTGTCCAAGTAATGATATGGCCTCATGCATACTCAAACAACAGTACCTACTATCCATCATCTCAAGCCCCTCCCACTCTTCCCAGAAAGCTACTCGACAACTTCGCACGTACACCTTTTCATAAAAAAGCCTCATCGAAAAAAGCCTTCTAAGCCCTCTCCTCTTTCACAACCTCCCTTCTCAGCCACTCACCCCAAACTCCCAACTCCCCAGCTACATCCAATCCACTCGCCAGCCTCTTGACTCTCTCCTGATGCGCCACCATTTCCTGCGCCCCGTCTTCATCCTCGTGCTGCATGTGCGCCTCTGACTCGCGTTTCAGCGTGGGAGCAGGCGAAGAAACTATGTTTTGCTCAGAGACAAGGAGATCGCCGTTTGCGTGCACGTCAATGGTTACAGCTAGGGGCGCGTGATGGGGTTCTGGGGGTTGGTCCTTGGGGGTGAGGAGGTCAGAGAGGAGGTTGGAGATTGCGTCTGCAGTGGTTTCTGGGGGGTTTGGGGGGGCTGTGGATGACGGGTGGGGGACTTGAAGGGTTATGCGTGGGATTGGGGGTGTGTAGTTTAGTGTTACGTCGAGTTGGAGGGTTGGGTAGTTTTCTGATGAGCCCGTCTTTGGTTTGGGGGTCTGCGGTTGGCCCAGTTTGTGTATTGGGATTGGCTTTTGTGGTGCTTCGTAGAAGCTTTTGCGGAGGAGCGTGGTGACGTGTGCGTATTGTCGCAGAACTGGCAGGATTTCTACGAGTTGTTTGGGATGGCTGAATGGGAGACTCTCGAGGGTACGGCTGTACTCTAGCTTTGGTACGTAGAGACTCATGTTGTGACGATGTTGTTCGTAGTTGCCATTAATGTCTTTTGAGAGTGCCAGGTGCGAGCTGCGAATCTCATGTGTAGACTCGCCAGTTGCACCAGACATACCAGGGTCGACTTCTCCAGGCCTCAGCGCAAGCCCAACAAATGTGGTTGGTCGTAGATCATCGTTGCGAGGCTCGATACCGACTGTTTGGTAGAGTTGCATATGAACAGCATAAGGTACGACGAGCGGCGGGTTGAATTTCGCAACGAATCGTACATTTGGTAATCTTCCTGCAGCGGAGTCGAGGTTCATGGCATCATCGGTTTGCTCTGGCGCCTCGAGATATGTCGGTTTTGGTTCAAGCCAGTCTATAGAAGACGTATTCATGAGTATGTTTTCCAGGTGGCTGGCATCATTGCTATCCATGGACTTTTCGACCTGGTCGCTGATCCATTCGTTCGATATGCGGATGGGGGTATAGAGAGCTGAGGGCGACGCTTCGCACTCGATAGTCAGCGAGTACATCTTATTGTTACTCCAGTAGTCGTCTTCGGGATATGAAGGGGATTCTTGCGAGCTGGCATCCATCTTTTCTTTGCCTTTTTCCTGTACTTCCGGCGCAGTCTTCGGAATCACCCACCGCGAGTCCATCCAGTATTCTAGACTTAGCCCAAGGCACGATCCGCCATTAAACCGAGGCCTCCCGCTCTTCTTGCATAGTACCTCCCGCTCTGCCTTGTATATCCTGTACCGCTCGTCTGGTGCCCGTTTTGCAAGCTCAAGCTTCTTCTCATGGTCGAACAGCTTCCGAAGGCTCGTGTAGATGCCCGCAATCGCGTTGTAGCAACTAATACCTCCGTTCTGCGAGGAGCCCAACTTGTCAAGTGCCAAAAGTTTCTCCAAGTTTTCTGAGAAGCGCTCAAGCGTGACATTGAACTTGCTTTGGCCTGGAAGGGGTCTCAGACTTCTCACCAAAATCTCTGACCCTGCAGCTCCAAAGTTCAAGTCGGGTCTCGAGTCGTCTAGCCCGGTCTGTAAATTCACACTGACAATCTCATCGTTCTTGAAGGTGACGTCGCAAAGGGCCTCGTCGCCAATTAAAAGACTCCATGTACCTGCATCGTCCATATGCTTTTCATACGATATGCCTATTCGGTCACACAGCGCAAGCAGACCTTCTTCACTGACGCGCCCTGGCTTCTTCCCTATAATATCTATTATCTCTCGGAGCCTCCGACTCCTCTCTGCCTCGTCTGCGCGCCCTGTTGCACTTGCTGTCATGCCCAGATTAGACATGCCTAGTCCACTCATGCTTATGCCCATGCCGACGCCTCCCATACCCGAGCTCGCAACATCGTTGAGCATGTTCAGTACCGCAGGCGAGTCGTAGGACATCATGTGGATGTTTCCGGTAGGTGGAACGCTGCGCGGTGCAGGGGAGAAGGCGTTGGGGTTCTTGGAAGGCGTCTCCTTGTCTTTGGAGGGCGTGGGTGTCGCCATTTTTGCAACGTGTGCTGAGATTATGGATAGCTGGTTGGATTGAAAGCACAATGCAGCGGGTCGCAGGCCGCAATTGTAGGTATTGTATAGCTAAGATGCAGTTGGTACACCAGGTAAAGCTGACGTATTGCACAGGGCTTTCTGAACCCCTCTTAGGCCAGATATGGCCGAAATTCTATGAGTGTATTGGATGTCAAACGAACATGTTGTGATGCAAGGTTGGGAGCAATTGTGGTGGGGTAGGAGAAGGACGGGTGCAGGACGAGATGGTGCGCGTGTGAGCTAGGTCTTGGCACAGTGTGAACCGCGGTTGGATGGTCAACATGCCCTCCCACCACAAGTAACAAGCATTCAGATAGACAAAAGTGCCTTCGCTTCTATGAATTCAACAAGATGTTTACAAAAAGCAGAAATATCTTAGTGTGGGTATCATATCGCAACGTCAAGACTATAACCAAAACGCCGACCCAATGCTCGTGTCCTTTCATGGCCCTCCAAAACGCTTCAGTCCAGCTCTACAACTGTATCATCGTCCAGAATCTCGCTCAGCTTCTGTTTCGCCTTGGCCCCGGCAACCCTTCCAGGTTTCTTTCTCGGAACGGCACTGGCCTTGGGCCTTGATTTTGCCCCCTGCAACAGCTCAGTGATGGCCTGGTTTATGTCCTCCTCATCGTCCTCCTTGTTGTATTCGATGGCACGCACGCGCTTCTTCGGTCGCTGCTGTGCCTCATCGCTCTGCTGGGCCCTTTCCTTGGCTTCGGTTTCCCAACGCTTGCGGATCTCGTCTTCTGTTTTATTCTCCATACTGTGGAATGAGGCATGGTGTCCACATCCGTCGCATTCATATGAGGATGATGACTGCACATTTGTGAGTACATGCAAAATGCGCCTCGACTCCAAACTAGATATGATGTCGGTAGAGGTTGCATACCTTGAGCGGATGCAACATGAAGCGCAAGCAAGGACATCTTGCCGCGAGTAAAGATGGTTTGTGGTTACATTGGCCGCGCGGAGGGACGTAATTCATTTGTGTCCAAACATTGGGTGAGCCCGTCGCCATGTCGAGCAAGTGGTAGACCAAGGGTTGTGCAAGGTGCTCGTGCAAGTAAACAAGTCCATGACATTACGCAGAACGCGCACGTCGGTGCTCAAGCAGTGGGCACATGCAAACGCCAAATTGTCTCGACTTCACGTGCTCCAGTTCGGCAGTAACCGCATTAGGGAAACCCCGCGCTCCACAACTTTCAGGCCCATCCCACGTCATAGCAGATATGCACTGTATTCGTTGTCCAGTCACATAATTGGTCTACTAGTATTCAAACATCTGGCAGTCTATATTATCTGTGCCGAATTTTCTAACCATGCACAAATCATGTGTTCTATGAATGCCAACCTGTGAGATGTGGATCTATGCTAAAGACACAACCTGGATTTACGCCTCGGCTTGGAGCAGGAGCAGGGAAGCACCGCTTCTGTCCCGCCTTAATCAGGACCCAGTAAGCTGAGCAAATGATACTCTGCGGAGAATTGGAAAAAGTGAAGCTTGATAGGTGCTTATGTCGATGTTCCGTGACTGATGCTTGTACGGGACATGGGCGACCCATTGAAGCGAGGCGGAGGGTCTGAAAGTAACTGTCTAGCGCTGGAGCTAGCGGTGGACAACACGGAAGGCTTATGACCCTTGACCGGTTGATCATCGAGACAGCGGGGTAGACGCCTTAGGCCAGTATAAAAACCTCGGGATACATGACAACAGTCCAGACACCTATGTTTATCATCTCCTTCGCTTGACTCAACCCAAAAGTATCCACATCAAGTTTTACCCCGCATCACAGTCAACATGCCTACTGGAGGATGTATGTGCGGCAACGTCCGCTATGAGGTGCAGGGCGACATGGAGGCCCAGGTAAGTGGTACTTCCTACAAGCTTAGACGAGGCTAAAAGGAAGTACAGATCCTTTGCCATTGTTATGATTGCCGTAAAATCTCCGGAACGACCTATTCGACCAACGCCCTCCACAGCAAGGATGGATTCAAGATCCTCCAGGGAACTCCAAAGGAACACAAGAAGACAGCGGATAGCGGGAACAATATTACATCCTTCTTCTGGTTCGTAACAGCGCAGACTGTACATGTAGCTTCTAATGTTATACAGTGGTGACTGCGGCTCCACCATGTGGCGAGAAAGCGACAGCTATACTGGCAAGATGATCATCAAGGTATGTCCACTCGTATATATGGCTGGCCGGCCCTGCTAAGTGGTGAACAGGTGGGAACTCTAGACGATCATAGCATCCTTGATAACTTCAGCACCAAGATGGAGTTGTTCACCAAGAACAGGCCCAAGTGGGTTGGCACTCAAGAGGGCGCCGCTCAAAAGTAAACCATGGCTTGAGCGTTGTGGCGTTTGTTTATGGACAAGGACAGCTGGAAATCAGGTGTACGGATCGAACGGCGACGAGCGGCAACGAGGAAGACGGACGATTGCAGAGTCGGAGTCGGCTGCGAGCGCCAGTCCAAGTATCGAATCTACAAACTCTATTCAGAGTCTGAACTCTCTGGTTCCTTTAAGCGTTCCCTCATCATCTGTAATTGTCAGCAATGCGCGTGTCGTCTTGCATCGTGATGCGCACCTGGTTCAATCGGGCCTTGAGCTCGTTAATTTTGGTCTCCTTAACAAGGATGTGCTCCTCGTCAAGTTCCTCGATGATGTATTCGTTATTGTTTTTGCTGTCAATGTCTACCAGCATGGCTTTGATGGAAGCATCGCACTTGACGAGCGTTCCTAGGGCGTTTAGCAAAGCGAAAGGGGGTGTGGCTTGGACAGAAGCAATACCTCTGATGGCTTTGACCATTTCAAAGATGGTGTAGAGGATGTTTGTGGGGGGCCGGCTGTGTATGTAGTAACTAACTGGACAACAGGGTGCGAGCAATCAAAGGCAGGAGCGGCTGGCGCGATTGCTTGGCGAAATCTGCAATGATCAGCGCGCTAACATTCTAAGGGTGTTCGCTGCACGCCAGCTGCGAGTGATCACAACGCCATCCCCAACCTTGCCCCGTCGGCCTTCAGTTCCCTTTCTCACTCATACAATGTGAAGAACCTCTTTCCGCGATGAATCAACGCATCGATGGCACTTCTTTGTGCTTCGCACCTACTCCTCGGCTCCAAAGTAGCGTTGCCGCTCACTACTTGCTTCTTCGGCACTCAGCTATCGCAGAAGGAAATGGCTGTTCGCGGTGATCCTGAAACATGTTGCCAGAAATAAAGACACGAGCACTACCCTACATTTCGCCATGTCCTATTCCCTTTTCTCTGCTCTGGCCTCACCCTCTTTACGGCAGTGTTTTCATACTTCTGCTCCTGCTGGACGTCTCTGTTCCTTCTGTCGTCGTTTCGTTCATCCTTCCCTTTCTGAGCTATCCAAGGGCAAACTCCTCGGTTTCACTTCCATTGTGGCATTCATCAACATAATGCCCTTGCTTCCTCGCATGGTCATAGCCACCAGGCAAGTGTTCGAGGACGAAACGCCACACGAAGTCAGTGCCTTCAAATACTACTTCCTCCTCATCGGCGTGCTTGTTGTGATGGTCGCTTTCTTGCTATGGTACTTGCATCGACGTACAAATTATAGAAGAGAGTTTTGTGGGCAAGACAGCGAGCAGCCACCAGCAAGGGATATCCAAACGTGGTCTCAACCTCGGAGATTCATGTACGGTATTTACGAAGCCAGCAGCTCATTTCTTAGCCGCCAGAATGAGGGCCTAGATCAAAATGGCGATGCACCACCACCATATCAGCCCAAGTCAAGAGCCCCAACTATCGATGTGGAGATTCCACTTCCAACCTTATCAAGGAGTCTGAGTCAACGCTCCCAACGCTCCCAACACACCCAACCACCGCATTATCCTAGCAGTACTGGAGGAGCCACAAGTACGACCGAATGACAGGAGGTTGTTCACTCTTGAAGAGCCATTGGAACAAGACACAAGGGCCAGCCTTGCAGTTTGGCTACATGCAAAGGATTTGGGACCATAATATCCATCAGAACCCACATTGGGCACTTTGTTCAACTACAGAAATTTTTACCAACCACTATGAATCAACTCATTCAAAGTTCCGGTACCCCTTTTTCACCTTTGAAATATGCACGCGCTTGCGCTACTGTCTTATATGATTGAACCCGACAGCCAGTAGTCAACTCAGTCGCGAGCCACTTGGACTATACTTTCTGGTATTCCCTATAGCCACGTCATCACGACCACTTGCAGTTTACAGCCTTGATCCTACGTGTAGTATAGCGTGGAAAGATTGTCTTGAGATTTCAAGCTAGCACGAGACGCATTTCCTGCAAGTTACCTTGCCACGCCAAGTGCTGCGTCGCTTGGATCTGACGTGCTTTTCGTTGCCTAGTTGCCACTGGAAGCCCTAACCAATGCCCAGTTTCGGCATATGGCCAAGAATCAAGCATTCTCCTTCTGTCCGGATGCCTCCAAAAATTTCCAGGTACTGTCATGAGTGGTAACTAGTGAATGGAGCTATCATAGACTCAAAATTTACAAAGATCTCATACGTAGGCAACAAGAACGACGTATCATGACTTGGCCACTTGCGTCTTCTAATCTCGAAGATGCGACTTTCTCGTACTGCCGGGCCGAATTTTGCATTCTTAAGCGTCATTGTGTATATTCCTGAGCGTAAGGTTACTAATCGGATCTCAGCTTATGTTATGTTAGCTCGGCCTACTACCCGGGCCATGCCGCTCCCCTTCTCGCGTAGTGGGCCGCATGATGCAGAAGCGGCACGACGGCATACAGGCGGCACATTGCGTGCACAGGGCAGTCATGATGGTTGCACCTTGCTTTGTGTTCAGTAATCTGTCATTTTACTGGCTGTTCCTCGGTTCAGCAAAAGTCGACCCTTGTCTTCCATCGCACAGCCTTCGTACGAGGCGATGAAGCACACATGTAGTGTGCATTGAACGCGCTGCCAAGATCTCGTCATGCACCCCACCATAACCAGTTGGCTACCGATATGCCAATATGCGAGGATGCTGCACCTTTTTCGACCCCCGTTCGACATGCTGCTCGTGCTTCGAAATTGTCTCACAAAGCCAAGAAATTTCACATCAGAAACTCTAGTCTACTTCTGATCACTATACTTGCCCAAAGTGCAGACTAACGGAACGATTCTTCACTCAATGTGGCTGTGACGTCGAGTACTACGCATGGATGGGCTTGCTTACCGTACTCGAGCTGTACCTGACTAGGTAACATGAGGCAAAAGCACACTTGATTATAAATTCGTCCCTTGGTATGCTGACTTGAGAAGCAGTGATGGCACTCGTAGCTGCACGATCGGTGGTTTGCATGTTATGCCTTTCTCCCGAACTACTCGGAGCCGAGCTCGGTACACCGAGAACAAACAGACCAATGGAGTTTGCCAACATACGCCACTGGATAAGGCTATTCCTCCTCCATGAGACTCCATCACTATCCGCTCTACAACAACCTCATAGTTATGGCTGAATCGCGCCAAGATGAATGGTTGTTATTGGCATGTTCAGCTGTGACACTAATGCATCGGCCGATCTCCAGTCTCCACCTTCTATGCTAAGGCTTCTAGCGCAATCGAGCAATTTACTACCAACACACCAGAGAGCCACTTGCTCCCGATAACTCTCACTGGGTTTTATGATCATTCAGGCCTTGTTCTCTCCGCAACTTGCCATGCGCCATGGCCAAACACCCCTGTTCATGGGTGGAGTCGGAAAGGGTTAGTAACATGCAACCAGACCCAGGGAGTGATAACATATCGAGGCATAGGGCAGGGTAGAGACGCAGTAAAAGGTAGGACATCCCACAACAGGAATGATCCCATTAGGGACACTTTTTGTGGATGTGTAAGAAAGACGCCCGGCAATCATTTCGGCTAGGCCGAAAATTGAGACGAGCCCTTCTCTTGATATCATCACAACATCGAAGCATATATCGTCACTGAATTCCCACTGCCGCCGGAATCAAGTTACGTTATTTCTCAAAACACAAATCACCCGCTATTCACATAACAGTCATGTTTATGCCAGGAACTCTCGTAGTCAGTGAGTCGTATCGCTGCCCCTTAAAAAACAGTTGCTTCAGATACATTTGTAACAATCTCAGTTACATGCAACGAGGCCAATCCAATGGTTGACCCGGCACGCCACTTCAATCTCAACACCAGTACTACACGGGTTATCAGAACGGCTGGAGGACGCACAGAAGGAGTTATCAACAGTATCTATCAGGTAGCCCAGTCGGTTAAGATTGACATGATTATTGTTGTTCAGCATACTAGTATGTATTTATCTCGATTTTACTAAAGCTTGTCTAATCAATGATTGCCCAGGTTGTCCTTGGTCGCCCGGTGAAGTGGAAAACAATGTCCGGTCAGATATTCAAGGGCTCAAAGCCTCACCGTATGTTCAGAATGATATATCCATCATTGGATACATCCTTGATCTTGCTAATGATCAACTACGTGAGGTCAAGTACGTTCAAGCCCTCTTCGGTCCTTCCTCATGGCAGTCTACGTCTTCACCTATCATTTTTCAAAATCCGATTTGTCCATTTTTATGGCACTCGACAGGCAATCAGTCTTCGAGCTGAAGAGGAGGCTGGATAAAATTTGATATATGCTACAATTGTGGGATTGGATGAAGCTAATATGCAAATCAGTGTACCTCGCACCGGGCATGAAGCTGAAGGAAGACAGCAAGTACTCGATCAGATGAAAGACTTTGGTCCGTTCTGGAGCTGAGACACCTATGTGTCTGCATACTTTGCAACACAAGCAACGATTCCCTATCTGCTGACTACAGCCAATTGTACCAACGACGAGTTAAATGATAATGAGACCATGATGTCATGTTCAATCAACTCATTCTCTGTATTGCGTATGTGTTACCTCGTACGCATCAATCGTATATTTTGAGCCTTGAATTAGGTTACAGATGCTGGTTCAGCTTTGTAGGACGTTATACACACCTATCAGAAGTACACATCAAACCTAATGATTCTATACGGAACATTTCCCCTTGCTTTTCCAAGAAGACGATCTCGGGAATGCCATGGCTCTCACTCAAATCGGTATAGTGCCTTGGTGCCCACATCATATCCGTATTTGTCTCCGGATTGGACAGTGACATCGATTACCACTTCCATCTTATCCTCCAACATAAATTACTACAGTTTATTCACCCGGACGGCAGATATTGCAATCTATCGAGGATAACCGTTCCGCGTCACGGTACATTTGCAATTCAAATTAATCATTGTCAGAAACTGGTTTACTAATTGAGAGATAGGCTAGTTGCCACCCAGCCTTCTTCGAAGCTCCATTGCGTATGTATGTATTCTCTTTCACTGCCATTCTCAGGACTTCATACGGGCACTACGGGAAAATAAATCTAAGTAGAAGCTTTCCTAGCATCGGACAAGTGTAAAAAAAACCATATCAATTTTCCGGGCTTATCTTTGGTCGCTGTTACGTTCGTACGAATTACTTCAAGAGATATGAATGGATATCGAAGCCACCTGCATGAAGCAGTTTCACTGGAATTGAGATTAGTGGCAAGGCCCGGAGTACGATATGCAAAGCAAGTTCGATCCAAGTCCAATAATCAAACAATACTACCGGAACCATCTCATTCCCAGATGGCTCAAGAGAAATGTCGTTACAGCATCATGCGCAGAATCAGGTGCCCAGATGTGTCTGATGCTCTCAGATCTGCAATGGTTGAGAACGCACGTGCGAGTTCGAACCAAGGAAAGCCAATGCGAAGATCAGCACACGCCGCGGGTATCAGCGAACCTAGCCACGCATCTGGGATCTCACAGACCATGGTTCGAGATAGCGTTGGCATGGGCTGGCGTGCAGAAAGGTCGCTACTATTGGCGCATCCACACCACTAACGCACACATGCAGTCACACGCCCGCTTTATCTGCTTCCGCCACAGACGCGAATACATGAAGTGTGCAGATACTCTTGTAAATCACTCAATCCGGAAAGAGTCGTGACGTTGTGCCGTTCATTACTAGGTCAAACGACCAATCGCAAACTATGGTATTTCTTTTTCCGTATCTGCATCCTAATGCACCCGGGTCCTCGATGCCGCTGCCTCTGTGCAGGGTCATCTACACGCGTCGTCAGCTTCTCCAAATCGAGTGGAGAATGGTATGCGGTAGTGGCAACATTACCGCATTGCGGGGTTCCCAAGCGTGGCTGTAGTTGTGGTGTTTAAAGCGCGGATGTCCCGTAGGATATGCTGCCGAGATGAGCGCTGGTAGTTCTCACGCTGGCCTGTGGGTAGAGTATCGACTATGGCGAAGAGCAGTGAAAAAAATGTAGCAACAATGGAGAGTGTGAGGGATGTCGAGAAAGAAGGCGTTGTGCAGCAGGTGGAATGTGCACAAGAATCTGTAGCTGTGAGTGCTACGACCTTGACCGAGGGTTTGCCGTTATCAAAGGCTCGGTGTGTAGCACTAGTTGCGGTACTGACTATAGCATCCGCCATGAGTGTAAGTGGTGAATTGTAATCTTGAGTAACAGCAACTGATCTCGAATAGACAGTAGCGATACAAGATTCGGTCACCGTACTGCCCACCATCGGGCGAGAACTGGGGATTCCTGCTAGCCGACAGCACTGGATTGTCTTATCTTACAATCTTACATTTGTACCATTCCTTGTCAGTCATTCTCACGTTCTCCTCGAAGTTCTTGCTGATTCTCCGTACAGATATTCAGTGGCCGCCTGGCAGACGTTTACGGCCGACGACGGACATTCCTCCTAGGCTCATCATTCTTCACAGCAGCATCAATAATGGCACCCTTCGTCCCGAACGAAAGCGGTTTCGACGCTATACGTGGACTTCAAGGTCTCAGTGCCGCGGCCATGGCATCTGCTGCGCTAGGAATCCTATCCTCCACATTCCCACCCAGAAACGCCAAAGACATAGCATTCAGCTTCTTCGCCATCGGTGCACCCCTTGGATGCATATTCGGCAACCCCCTCGGCAGTCTCATAGGAGAGCATCTACCCTGGCAATGGACATACTGGATCCTCAGCATCACCGCCGGCATCTGCACAGCCGCAAGTCACTCCATCATCCCGCGACCGCCTCCCTCCCCTACTCCCAGCAAAGCCAGCACAATCGACTGGATCGGCGCCGCAATCCTCACGCTCGCTCTCATCTTCTTCGTCCTCGCTCTTTCCAATGGCAACGAAATCGGCTGGCGCACACCCTGGATCCCCACACTCCTTGTTCTCTCTTTCTTCCTCCTCGCAAGCTACACATACTGGCACCACCGCCTCTCCACAACACCCAACAAGACTCCCTTCATTACCCCCTTCATCCTTACCCAAAAACAACTCACACCAATCCTCGTCATATCCGCGCTCGTCACAGCTTCGTACACCATTTTCCTAGCCACCTCTCTCCGCTGGTTCACAGCATACCAAGCCCTACCCACTTTGCAAATACTTCTCCAATTCCTTCCCGCGGGCATCTGCGCTCTGCTAATCGCAGTCATAACACCCCTCATCCTGTCTCGCATACCAGGGTTATACATCCTCCTCTTCAGCACAGCTTGCGTATCCCTATCCTGTCTCCTCTTCGCTATCCCGCTTCCAGAACACACTATCTACTGGGCGTACGGACTCCCGGGTATGATACTTTGCGCTGCAGGCGTCGTCACCGCGGGACCCGTTCTTACGCTTTTTGTGGCAAGTGCTGTCTCTGAAGAAGATTCGGCGCTCGGAGCGGGGCTGATCACGGGTGTGGGGATGGTTGGGCGGGTGATTGGGGGTGTTATTGCGACGGCGGTGGAGATGGAAATTGAAGGCGGGGAGAAGGGAGTGGCGCTGGCGCCGGGGGGTTATGCATTGAAAGAGGGGATAAGGGGTATGGCGTGGTTTGGTTTCGCGGTTAGTGTAGTAGCAGTAATGGTGGTTGGGGGTTTTACGAGGGGAATGGGGTCATTGGGGGGAAGAGATTAAGTGGATAGGATGTTTTGTAAAGGTAGATAGACGTTTTTGTTGCGAGAAGAATAAACTCGACTCATTAGAAAGGAATAGGGAAGAAATAAATCAGGAATCAACCCACTAACCACATATCTTCGCATCATTTCTCCTCAGCGAAACTTGCTCCCAAAAAGCATCACGTATACCATCCTATGCCCCCAGTTTCTCCCTAACCTTCTTGACACACGCCTTCTTCTTCCAACAAGCCCTATACCACACATCCAAACCCCTAAATTTCTCCGCACTCCACCCATTCCACTCTTCCACCAACGCATCAATAACAGGCCAAGCCAAGCAATCCGCAATACTAAACCTAGCCCCAGCTATATACGGCCCGGCATGCATTTCCAATCCACCCTCTAGTTGTTGGAGTAGAGAAGAAAGAGTAGCGTCGAACTCGGATACCGTTGCTGCCGGTGAATTGACACGGGAAAGCCATGTTTTCGTGATATCGGCGGTGGCAAGCATAGTTGGGTATGCAGATGCGGTCACAGAGTGTGAAGAAGAAGACGTGTCGATCGGATAATAGCGATCGAGGTAGAGTAGAATGGAAAAAGGAGTATGAATCTCCGTGTGATGCGTGTCTGCGTCGCGAAACGTAACCTGGCGGTCCCGTTCATACGTTTCGTCTGTTGCCGGTGCTTCGAGAAGCGAATAGGGGATTTTGCATTCTGCAAGGGCGATTTGGACTTGGCGAGTTTCGATGGGGTTGTTGGAGGCGAAGAGGAGGGGAGTGTCTTTTGGTGGGGTTTGGAGATGGAGAGTGTCGAAGCCATCGCCGTACCATTCGTCCCAATCGAAATCTGGATCATGGTTTTCGCGGCTGAATGCTGTGATGACACGTTTGGCTTCCTCTTCGTCGCCGTTGATCACGTCTGCTGCGTCACGTTGCTCTCGGGCTGTTGCGCCTTGGCCCCATATCGTGCTTTCCTTTGCGTCGAGAAAGGTGCCAATGTTGCGAAACGTCAGGCTGATGCGTATGCCATTGTGGCTTGTTTCCGCCTCACTGCGTTCGGAAGCCAGGCGCTTGTCCGGCTGGATAGCATGAAGCCACTTCCTGTTTGATTCGAGTCCAAGAACAAACATGGAGTTGTGTGGTAGAGGCACACGCTGGGTCTCGCGCTGGGCGACGGAGCTGTCGTCCACCAAAGTTTCATCTTTCTTCGATTGCGGTTTCTTTCTCCGAATGCGCATGGTACGCTGCGATCCAAAACTCACGTTGACGATAGAAGAACCTTTGACAATATCGAGGGTCTTGTCCGAGTGTTCAGATATGAAATCGTTACCCGATCGATAGAGCTGGATCAAGACATGATTCAGTGGATGTCCTACAAGCTTTTCGGCTTGCTTGCGTATTATTTGCACTTTTGGCGAGAAACGCAAAAGCGGAAGAGTCTGATCTGCAGGATGACGGTAAACTGGCATGGATCCGTCATCTCCAAATGCACCTTGACAGCATACAAGACGTGGTACTTCACCTTGCTGATGTAGCATTTTCTGCCATCGCACTTCGTTGTAAAGGTGTCCAAATATAAGGTCTTTCAGTGGTTGAGATGGATCGGAGGGGTGATGGAGATCGCTTGGAAGGAAGTCGTGTATAATCCTTGAGTCACCCTGTGCGATTTCATCTTCGGGCCCAAGAACAGGCAAGTTGGCGAGCGACTTTAGCTTTGAAGGTTTGCTCTTGGTGGGAGCCTTTGCCGTTTCTTCAATAGTCGTTGTTGTGAATATTCCTGGCGGCGTCTTATTCTGTTGTGGCTCAACAGCAGGCGACTCTGACTGTGACACGGAAGCAGGCTTTTCACTCTCCACAAGGGCCTGTTGGATTTCCTTCTCATCTTGTTTCGAAATCGTTGAAGCTGCCTTTGAAGAAGGAGCTGAACCTCGTTTCGCGTCGGGTCCGGAATCCGATTTGGGCCCCCTGGAAAGTGACATGCGTACTCGATCCGAAAACCCTGATAGTCTATTCTTGTCCTTTTCTTCACACTTGGCCGAAAGCAATGGCACAGATGCCGCATTTTTCAACACATGCTGTCTGGCTTCCTTCCCACGCAAGTCCGCGGCACTTCCTGCTTTGGTGATTTGCGAGGTGCGTTGAGCATCCGCTGGGGTTCCAGTAGATTTTGAAGTCGCACCGTCCATGATTGGAGTCGAATCAACTTTGACCGAGGTTGTTGACGCGCTGAGCTCGGCAGTGACATCTGCATCGTCATCATTCTGTTCTCCTTCTTTACCCTTCTTTTTCTTCTTCTTCGTTTTCCCAGACCTCATCCTTATCTTGGTTTTGACCAACTTCGGCTTCTCTTCTTGCGCACCAGGCACCGTTGCACCCTTGACCAGCATGTCAGCAAACTCCTGGTCAGTAGGCTGTTTGTTTTGCTCAGCGACCGGCTTCTCATCTGGTCGTAATTCCTTCTCCAACAATGCTTTACCGTTTTCACCCAGAGACATTTTGGCTAACAAATCCTCGACCGTCTTCTCATTTTGCTTTGAATCACTCTTTGCGCCATTGGAAGACAGTTCCGGCTTCTGTGGTATTTCCGCCGGGTCTTTTTCAAGGATTTCCTCGCTATTTACTAGGTATGCATCGAAAAAATCATCCATGCGCTTTAATGCCAGCTCATGCCTGGTTTCCTTACGAAAGCCCAAACAGTCTTCAATGACGCAAATCTTGATCCCATGTCGAGCTGCATCGATGACAGTCGCCAATACAGAGACATTTGTGATGCATCCGCATATGAAGAGTTCTGTAACAAGCCTTGCGCGCAGTGTAATCAACAGATTCGTACCTTGAAAGGCAGAATAGTTGGTGGTCCGAATTACCGCATCTGCCGGTAGCTCCATATGTTGGGTGACGAAATCGATAAACTCGGCACCGCGTGTCTTGGGCACGCATGCGGGCGTCCGCTTTTCGCTCTTCAACAAGAATAGCTCGTCATCCTCTTCGACTGAAGCCTTTGCAATCTCTTTTGGCAGCGTCTTTCTTCGCGCTGATACGCGCTTTAGCAAGTCGAGAGCGCGTTGCTTGTGTTTTGATGACTTTGACTGCGCAGGTAACGAGGCCGCCTCTTTTGCCAAGTCGTCATCGCCAGCCTCCGGGCCGCTCTCATCACCGTCGATCAGTCCACCCACAACAAGCGCGTCTCCCTCGCCAGTGTCTGCTCCAGTGGCGATACGGTCTGTTTCGTAGAGCGTCTGGACCCATATAACATTGCCGCTAAGTTCGCGAAACTTAGGTACCAGAGTTTGGATGCGGTCGAGAAAGCCGGTCGAGGTGTTTACCGGAAGGCGTCCGTCAGGTAGGACAAAGTCGTTTTGCAAGCCAATGGCAAGAAGCGCTTGATGAGTCTGGAACTTGGGCTGGTTCTGGGACACCAGGTCCATGAGGTCGGCCATCTTGGAGGCCATGGTGGCAGCAAGGCGAAGTGTAAGAGTTGAGTCAAGCGCTAGGCAGCTACAGTTTTGGCTACAAGTTTAGCGCCAATGCCTTCGTGATTATGAGGCCTCAGATGCAATCAGAGGTTGACGAGTATTAGGAACAATGGGTACCGAAAGGGCGTACTAGATAACATGGCATGATATGAGATGGAAATGCAAAGGTGGACTACGTAGGATCCGCAAAGAAAAAGTCTAGAAGGCGGAGGCGGTCCGAATTTGGGCAAATTCGTAATCGGACGGCTGCAGGGATGGTTACATTAGAGAGGTGCGCTATAGGAATGATGGGCCGGAGAGGGCGTTGGGGGCGACTCGAAACGGCGAGGCGTGTTGGTGTTTTCCGCATCCAAAGGCCGCTAGGTGGCTGCTCACTCCCCCCGCCGTTAGTGCGGGGCAACGGATGGATGGGAGCAGCAGCACTGGCTAATTGCCCAACCGGGCTGATCTACTTTACGCTGTCGGTGGGTATTCCCGCGGGCATGTCAGGGTCGCGCTTCTAGTCGTCTCTCACGGTCAAGCCCAGACGCCTTTTCTCCGCGCGGGCATACCTTTGCTGACAGCATTGCCCCAAGCTATACTGAGCATGATATAGCGCGAGATGAGCCTCACGGTGGCTTGCGCTTCACCGCCAAACCTTACGACTCATGGAAGCAAGTCTCACTTGCTGTTAAAAAAAGCCGTAATCTTCTGCGAACCGTCAGATTTGCGTGTTTTGGCCGCGCTGCCGTTGCTCGTGGCACTCCTGGTGACGCGCTTCTTTGCAGGCGTGGACGCTGACTTGATAGGACTCTTTATCAGAGACGCCGATGGTTCGGACTTGACGCGTTTACTCGAGGGTTCTTGCTCTCCTGTACTACCGTTGTCATCTTCGCTGTTGTTCTCTCGCTTGATGCCTTGCGACTCATGAGCCGGTTCGGAGTGTGCTGTCACTGGTACAGGTAGCGGGGCGTTATCTTCGGTACCTTCCACACGGTCCATTGTCTCACGTTTCTCATTCACGTCATGATCGACCTTGGCGGCTGCTCGTTGGTTGCCAAAGAAGTTTGCAATGTTGTTCTTGTTATCGGCGCTGTTGATTGGTACAAGAAACGAGGGCGAGTTGTTGCCGACCTTGCCAACATCTTTGCTGACTGGGTAGCACTCAAGGTCGCCTTGGAATGGCTGCAAGAGGGATTGTAAATCTTTGCTCCATTCGGTGTGGGTTGGGTCGAGCCAAGTACGGATTGCGTCGGATCCGTTCTCGAGGATGACGGGCATGCGGTCGTGTAGAAAGCGGAGCTGCTGGTTGGATTCGGTAGTTATGATTGTGTAGGTGAAGAGCTTCTCACTGGAACCTTCAAACTGAACACAGTCCCATAAGCCGGCGAAGCACATGAGCTGGCCATCTTTGCGTTTTGTAAAGTGTGGTATCTTGTCCTTGCTCCCGCTCTTCTTGAGCCATTCGTAGAATCCCTGTGCCACGACGATGCATCGCTTCTTCTTCTTCATAGTTGTCCATATCCCACGGTCTTCGACGAGAGAGTCATCGCGGCAGTTGATCG